CATCAGGATCACGCGCATGAGAGCCAGGATCCGATTCAGGTTTGCCTCCACCGCTTCTCTTCTTATCATCATCATCGTCAGGCGGGTCTGGAGGATCATACCCCGTGCCGGTTCCTTCATCATGCTCTCCATCTTCATTCTCGTCGCCAGCTTCGTCACCGTCATCGTCTCCATTATCCTCCTGAATCGTTTCAGCGAATAATCTCCACTCATCACGATCAGCTCTGAGACGCTGTTCGGCTTTCTGGGCCTTGAGTACTTCGCTTCGCAGATCGGCAATCTTCTCCTCGTACCGTTCCGCGACCTCTTTCTCGATCTGACGTCTCCTTGCTTCATGAATGGAATCGTCATAGGCAATAGGGGGACCAATGAGGTCGTTGCCCTTCGTAGATGCGGTGATACCGTCGACACCAACAGGTCTTGAGGAGCTGGCAGATGCTGTGGACTTCGATCCCAACATCCCGCGATCCTCCAAGAGTTCGCGTAGCTGTCGATCACGCACGGCTGCCGCATCACTTTTCCCATGAAATCCGCTTGGTATGCCGAACAAAGTGGCTGCACTAGGCGTGGAACGCGCAAGTGCTGGGCTGCTAATACCTGGCACGTAGTGCTCGGGCATTGCATCCGCCACGATTGGCATTGAACTGCGGCCAGTGAAGAAGTTTCCACCGGTGAATGGAATTCCATCCATCACAAGGTTCTTGTCCTTGTCCGATTCCGAGAATGCGAACTTCTCTTTGGCGACTGGACTAACTTGACTTGGGGACCGTATTTCAGGGGATCGTACCTCACCTCCTACGGAAAATGCAGGCACTACTTCCTTTCCTACGTGCTCCCAGCCAGACTCAGTAGTCCTCGAAGACATGGGCATGCTTGAAGGCCGTGTCGCTCCTCCATAATTGGAGTTTCGCGCTGCCTCCAATTCGCTGCGTGTCCTCGCTTGAAGATCTTCTTGTGCTTTGAGCGTTTTCCTGAGTTCACTCAGCTCGTCGTGCAAGGTAGGCAATGCTCGCCTTGCATGATCTTCATTCTGATGAAGTCGGTCCTCTGCATCTTGCATCCTCTTCACAGCCATTTTGCGGTACTCTTCCTCTTCACCAAGACGTTCGCGAAGCCGAAATCGTTCTTGATCAATGGCTGCGCTGTTTCCAGCTAGCCCTTGGATCTCGTTCACGGCCCGCAACTCCTGGTTCTTGACCAAGTGGAATCGTTCCTGCATTGCTTGTAAGGCTTGTTCCGAACTTGCTGTGTTTGACCGGAGGACCAAGTTCTCTCTGGCATGTTCATGAAGTTCATGAGTCAGACGCTCATACTCACGTGCCATAAGCTCACCATCGCCTTGCGCTCTTGCCTCCAACTGCACAAAGTTAGTGGCTGCCTCCGTGCGGAACACGTGTAGCTGTTGAGCTAACTCCTCGGCAACGGCATGTGCTTGACGTTGTTGAGCAGAGTTCTGTTCATCCATGCGAAACAAAGCTGTTTCATAGTCTCGCTTCATCTCCTGATTGACATTGTTGATGTGCCTCATGGCTAAGCATGCATGGTCACGTTGTCGTTCCAATTCTTCAATGCGAATTCCAGATCCTTCATCTTCTTGTTGCATCTCCTTGATCTTGTCCATCAGGGTCTGAACAACTCCTTCGTACTCTTGCATCTGACTGCGATAGTACATCTGCTGCGCAAGGTTAGATGCTTCGAGCTGTTGCGAAATCGTCAGTTCCTGATAGGCATTCGGACCATCGGCTATGGCTGGCGTGGTCACCGATGACGCATCACCACGTGCTGGGATAGTGTCCAGAGTCATATCCAGATCGTCAGCATCACGTGGTTGATTGGTAACCATCCGATTCCAAGTCATGGATTTGTCACGCCCACGAGTAGCCGAAGTCCTCGATCGTGCTGAAGAGCTTCTCGAAGATGATGGTCTTGACTTCTTTTCCAAGGTCTTCACTCCTTTGTCCTTGGCCCTGGACGTAGTCCGAGGTGCCTGAAAACCAGACGCTTCGGCTCGTCGTTCGGGAGCCTTGCCCGTCCTCGAACCTGTGGATGTCGGACGCGAAGGCGTAGATGCTCTTGGTAGACTCTTTGCTTTCACCTTGGGAACTGCCTTTGCAATGGCAAGCGCAGAAGATTGACCTTTGTCATCTTCCGTGGAGCTATCAACGGATTGCACCACTGTGTCATCAGCTGTTGACTCACCAACGGCTGGCGCTGCCACATCGGCACCGAAAGTCATTGTCGTATCTTGGCTTGATCCCGAGTTCATTGTGGTCGTAGTAGATCAAGTAGTCGTTGCTGTAGAAAGGCAGAGCCGCGTACGGCTGATAACCTGCGTGGGGGATTGATCTCGACTAGGTTGCTGCTCTCCCCACCAGAGCTGTAATGAATGTAGGTGTGGCTGGCTTGCACTCTCCACAGACTGGACCCTGTCTCTCTCACACTTCCACACGTGCAATCCTATGCAGGCAGAACCGGCGGCCGTTCCTTTTGCACTCACTGCCGGCGGCGGTTCGTCTGTGCAACGGGATAGCTCTGATTGCTCAGGATAGAAGACACTTATAGCACTTAGCTATGGGCATTGACTTGAGCCAAACGTTGCGTGGGCGGTCACATAGAAAGGTAAAGATGAGGGACGCGTAGCGTGCCCCCTTAGAGTCGAGGGACGCGTAGCGTGCCCCCTTCTCTTGCACTTTACACGGTCTTGCTCACAGCTCTTATAGTGACACCTTAGAACTTGACAAGGCATCGCAGTCCGTTCGCAGTGCATGATATACCCATTATATAGCCCATTATAGGGTAGGGGTCCCCATTAAGGGTCCCTCCTTTTCCCCTTCCTGGAAAGCCTCCAGGGCCGGTCTCCTCATATTCCTGGCAGGGTGTGTTGTCTTACTCCCTCACCAGGCCACAGAAACAAAAGGTTAAACTTTCCGATTCCTACTATATAAACTATAAGAACCCACAAAGATTAAAGGTTGTATATTGGGGATGTAAGTTGTTCGCATATGTGCTGGAAGTCTTGGCATGCCTTGGCCTTGGCCTTTGAGGGGCCCTGCCGAGGCGACAGGCTGAGTATCACCATCATCATAACAAGCATCACCATCTTTATCTTCATCACCTTGTTCGTTGCCATAGTCACCGATGTTACTACCCCTAAGGGTCCATGTACGCAAATAGTATATACTTTGGGCACAATGCACCCATACAGGGAGTACTTTACGGCCCAATGTATATACTGTTTAGGTCCATGGACCCTTACCCCTAAACTCTAAACCCTATAAACCCTAGGGTACTGTCACAGTTGTCACCATCATCCCGGGGTTGCATTCGTCTGGAAGCACCGGTTCTCTCCTCGCTTAGGTTTTTGGGTTCCAGGATTTAGGGTCTAGGGTTTTAGGGGTTTTAGGGGTTTAGGGGTTTTAGGGTTCAGGGTTTTAAGGCAGAGGGTCAGGCGTCGGGCGTACGGTTTAGGATTCGAGGGTGTAGCTTAGGAGTCTGCCACCAAGCAGCAGCCACTCCATTGCAAGCTTTTCGATCAGGAGGAGACCGGTGATGCTCGCTGCCGTGTGGCCTGAAGTCGCTTCGAGTTTTGAAGTTTTGAAGCACGCTTGTGGGCTGTTAGATGCACAATCGACTTTGTTGATTGCGCGGCGCCCACAAGTGGATCTGCAAACATCGACGGAAAGAAGTCGTAGTATATGGGCTGTAGAGAAATCATGATATGCAGCTGGTAGCTAGTTGTTCCGGCCGCTTGTTGCTGGGATCTTTCTTTCGGTCGTGGCCACAGGTGTCTGTATAGTCCAGCCAAGGTCGTGGAGGAGGGAGGCTAAAGCAACGAACAAAAGGATGTTGGGCTTCTGGTTCACGGGTTGAGGTTTGGGGCGTTGCATGCTGAAGCATGCAGAATTAATTCGCAATTCCGCCGCTTCTGGCTCAAAAGTGCGGGGGCCAAGGGGTGGCTTCGGGATTGATAATGCCTGTAAGTTTCGAAGACGTTGGTTGTACTTCTTTGAGTTAGCACGCCGGACTTGAAATTGTTTCTTGTGCTTGCTACTACATCGCATAAAAAAAAAAAAAAAAACAGTCATTCGTCAACCAGAAACCTAAGACAACGCCACAACCGCAAACATGACACACAGCCTAAATAGCATCGGGAATAAGGAAGTGAAGAAGCTGGCCGGCCCAGGAACAGGTCCTTCACTCCCCGTGGCCAACCTATCCTAGTTTCAGAGAAGGAAAAAGACATCGTCTAGCTAGACTAGACATCACCCATGGCGTCCAAGGACCCTTATAGTAGATACTGAGCAGGCATTTGGGACCCAAGAGTTTCTACTATACTATTCCTTGGACAGTTTGGGTCAATCAAGTTGACCCCAAAGCCATCCACATTCGCAGGATTGGAACCTATACGGGCTCATGCTGCGGAGAACCCGATACGCCTGTGTCATAAGTCAGGGTAGACCCGTGAGTTCTAGAGATTCTAGAAGGACTTTTATAACTCTGAGGATCATGGGTAGTATAAGTGGGGTTATAATTCCCCTAAAATAAGCAATAACTATTTAACAACTGTGATTTTGGGCTAAACTGCCAGGTTTTTTGCTCCCTGAACCAAAGCCAAGCGAAGTGGCCGAAGGTCGGGCCCAGCATATCCCGGCGGAACAGGGACTCAGACACACGGCCCCACATGGCTTCAAGAATGGCGGCGCAGAGGCGGTAAAGTTTCGGGACAAGAAGCACGAAGCTTCCGTGCTGAGGCTTGAAGAACTTGAGGTTGCGTTATCATGCCTGATGAAATTTGTTTGGCTGGTCCATTCCATCGCCCTCAACCTAAGATGACAGAAGGCTCCGTTCCTCCTCGAACCATGAAGCACCACTAAATCTGCAAGCAGGGGTGTCCTCAGACACTTCAGTGTCTTCAGGCCCGGTTGGGCATGCTGAGAGAACGAACTAAGACAAACAAAAACAGAAGCCACAGAACAACACACGCAAAGCAAAGCAACGTCCTGGTTGGCCTCTTTCTGGCTCTCCTCTGCGCCTGGATGTTTTGAGGCTTCGCTGGTGCATCTCTCGCGTCTTTAGGACTCTTGAGGAGACAGGGGAGGTCGTCATTCGTAGTACTTCAGGGCTTTGGGGCTCAGTGGACTCCTTCCCCCTTAATGGCAGATACGGATCGTTGATGGCAGGAGTTTAAGATGGGAGCGACACGTTGTGTGCTGATTCAGGCATCTTTTGAATAGCCTCAGCAAACCAACACCTTGTGGTTTTCACTGCAGAGATTCTTTGCAGGCGTAGGCTCCGGGCATCTAGTTTCAGCTGCAAGGTTACGTTACAAGGCACCGCAGAGGTAAAGATGGAATGATACGAAATCAACACGGGTCATGGTTCATGAGGCTTCTGATGACCCCTCCATCATAGGCATAGGGACCCTTAGGGAGGTAAGGGGGGAGGGGGTAGGGGACTATACTTCCTTAAATAGGCCTTACTAAGTCCGTATTATGGGCATTACGGCCCCCTACCGCCGCTCCCCCTACCTCCCCTAAGGGTCCCTATGACTCCATACTCCAGCGCTTCAGATAACGGATCGCGGAACGCTTGGGTTCATCCTCAGCCCTGTTCCCAAGTCCCACAGAAGCCCAACAAGGCCTTCCAGGGTTTAGGGTTTAGGATTTAGGGTTTAGGGTTCAGGGTTTAAGGTTTAGGGTTCTACCTCTGCTTAAGAACTTGACCCCGATGTAGCTTTGGATTGCATTGAGAATTGAGAACCCTTGCTTGCGCCAGCGCACTTAACCGGAAACTAACGATAATAACTTCAATTACCAACACCATGTCGCTATTCACACCTTTGCAAACTTCAGCCCTAAACACCTCAACAAAAAAGCTCTGCACCCTTGAACCGTCCAGCTGTGAGCAGGAATCAGGAAAACTCCTACAATTTAGGGTTTTTGGTAGGGTCCGAAATTCTGGAATACCCTTAAATGCCTCTACGCCCTAAACTCTTAAACTCGAAAGCCCTTATAGTAATGGCAGCTCAGAACTATAGCATCCTAAAAAAAAAAACCATGTCCTGAACTCCTTTCATCGTGCCAAACTGTTCAATCCTAGTAGCCCTTGCTGAAGTATTTTCTCAACTCAACCCCCCCCCCCCCCACCACCGCCTCCTGAGGACAGCCAAACCCCTACAGTAGAAGCCAGAAAGTTGGAATATGATTATCCTAAGCCCTTTATGGTAAATTATAGCGGATCCTACCCTGAATCCATATTCCAACTTTCTGGAGTTCTACTATAAACGTAAACCCTCAACCGCCAAGGCCCGAACCGCCAGTCGCCGGAGCCAGCGGAGCCCGCGTGCCGGGGCGCGGGAAGTGGTGATGAAGAGCTTCCAGGGCGTTCCAACGCAACAGCCTCGTAGTCGCTGGGAGTCTTGTCAGCTCTTAACGTTCTGTACTATACAGTACGGTTGGTATAAATCTGCATTACCCAAAATAAGGAACATACCATAATTCCCATAGTCCAGGGTCTTTAAGGTACTGCAGGATTTATATCATCAACAATAGTATAGAATACCATATTATACTAGTAATTTACAGTGTACCTACAAGTATGTGTGATTGTAAATTACCATAGTCAGGATTGTATTCAACCAGATATCATCCTGACTGTGGCGCTTGAGGTTACGTTACCCAGCACCCAGCAAGCGCCCAGGTTGCACACAGCATTTCAGAAGGGTCTCGGAACGATGTTGATGATGGTACACCGGGCCGTTCTACCATATTATTTGTGGGTATCGGGACCATCGGTCAGAACTGGTGTGTTTGGAGTCCAGGGATATTACAGAGTCGAAGGTTTCAGAATTTAGGGTCAGCCTCAGGGAACTAAAGTGTCAAGCAAATCTGGTGTTTTTCAGCAGTTGAACTAGTTACTAGTTGTCTGGATGGGCTTAACAAAGTTCTGTTTCGTACGCAATGTAGGAACCTGATAAAGAAACCTTGGGCCTCTATTAGGGTTCTTTATATGAAGCCTACTATCTTGGGGTTATGGACCCCGGGTTTCTTAATCAGGCTCCTACACCAGTGGGACTACTTAAGGATCATGGGAGTTAGTAAGTATGGCTATATGTACCTCAATTGATGTTATAAGTAAGTATGAGTCTAGTTACCCTAGTAATAACCCCAGTTACTAAGTCCCATGAGCCTCCAGGTAAAGGTGGAGGTCGTAGAGTTTCCGACGTGCTACCTCCGTAAAGACCCCAAGCAAGCCCTTGCCTCTGACTCCCTAAATCCTAAACCCACGCCAAACTCTGAACCTTAAGCTCCTAGCACCGGATCCTTCTTGAATCCATGAACTAGGGTTTAGGGTTTATTGGGTTTAGGGTTTATAGGGTTTTTTTTCGGGTTTAGGGTTTACAGTACTCCCAAGAAGGATAATCCCAGCAGCCCTCGAGCCTTAACTCTTATATATATATATATGTATATATATATATATATATATATATATATATTTATACCACCAACAATAACTTGAATCCCGTCGTTCAGAGTTCAGCGAATTAACCAACTCAAGTCCCTTAGGCTTTATCTCATGGTTAGCAATTTTGTAAGGTGTCTGCGATTCTGTTAGTTCGGGCTTCAGGAACCCAAAGAAATCCCGAAACCCTACAGTAGAAGCCCGAAAGTTGGAAACCCAATAGCTTCAATCCTTACGAGTCATGTATAGGGAATCCCAGCACGATTTGGCCTTAATCAGGTTTCCCACTTTACGGGGTTTACTGTAACCCCAAGACCGGACATGAGATAGCAATTTTTCTAAAAAGATGACAGCGATTTTCTCAGCTAGGGCTTAAGGAACCCAAAGAAGCCCCCGAAACCCTACTTGGAGATCAAGGGACATAGTAAGTGGGTTGTTACTAGGGCAACTACACTTATATGTGCTTATAACCCCAATTATTAAGGTACTTATAACCATACTTATAACCATACTTATAACCATACTTACTAATTCCCATGATCCTTTAAGCAACCCCTAAACCCTAATCCCTAAACCTTAAACCGTAAACCCAAAAACCCTAAATCCCTAAGCCTTAAACCCTAAACCCAAAAAACCCTAAATCCCTAAGCCTTCAACCCTAAACCCCAAAAAAACCTAAATCCCTAAGCCTTAAACCTTACTAAACCCAAAAACACAGAAATCCCTAAGCCTTAAACCCTAAACCCATAAACCCCTAAACCCTGATCCTGACCGGAACAGAACGGCTCCATTCTTCCCAGTATTCGGCCGGCTCGCGGTGGAACGCTCTCGTCCAGGGAAACAAGGTCCAGGGATTTGCTCAGGGATATGACCTCCAAAGAGGGTTGCATAAAGATTGGCTGTTTAGGGTTTAGGGGTTTAGAGTTTAGGTTTAGGGTTAACAAGGTCCAGGGCTTTGCTCAGGGATATGACCTCCAAAGAAGGTTGCGTAAAGGTAGGCGGTTTAGGGTTTAGGGTTTGGAGGCTAGGATTTCTCCGGGTTTAGGGTTTAAGGGTTTGGGGTTTAGGAGAAGGCCAAATATTCAGAGTCCTTCGAGAAGGGATCCACAATCCTGGACCGTTCGTGGGCTTTGCTGCTTACTTCGCAAGCCCAGAACACGATCAATCGCAGCCGGGGCAGCTTTGACAACCACGAGGACCGCCTATAACCATCTTTAAAACCCAACCCATCCCAAATCCTGCACCATCTCTTGAAACTCAACCACCTCAACAAGTACAACCCTACGCGCAACTACCCATCTCCTGAAACTTGTCAGCCTACCGAGACCGCGCGAAACACCCGTAAGAATTGCCCTGAACAACGGCCGGAAACCCAGGTACTGGGAGTAATGTAGGCAATGTAGGGCCCAAACCCTATTCTAATAATTATAGATCATGCCGGTAGGATCGGGAGCAACCGATCCTTCAGCCAGAGTTCGGATCCCCTTGGATTGTTTTTGGGAATTGCCGCTGCAGGGTCTGCGGGCTTAGGTGAAAGCTTTTATAATGTGCCGAAGCATCGAAAGTAATCCTACACCCTAAACCCCTTTTTGCATCAGGACTTGTGCAATCGCCTGAATACATGGACGGAAGGTCAGCACTCCTGACTGCACTCCCTAAACCCCTAAACCCCGAAACCCTAAACCCCTAAACCCTAAGCCCCTAAACTCTAAACCCTAATGACAGCTAAACCGAAGCCTGACTGTGAAACTTGGCGCAGAGATGTGTCTCCCACTCGACATGGTCTAGAGTCTACATATTGGAGCCGGCGCGCTTGAATGTAGGGCCTTGGAGAGGTTCTCCTGTCTTCTTAGTAAGGGATCCTACCCATGAATTAAAGTACACAGAACAACTGCTACAATGCAGGATCCACGTACCCGGCCCCACTGTGGATGCAGCTTGTCTACGTACATAAAACAGCTTCTAGCTATGACGGCAGAAACGGCAGAGCCTTTCCTAAACAAATTGCAGCCCACCTCTGGAAAGAATTAGTTGACTGCCGACAAAAATCCAAAGTTGGCACTTGCGGATGCCCAAGTACCTTTGGGATACTATATCCAGTGATCTTAAACCCAAAGCATCCCAAAACCCTGAACCCAGCAATTCCTATAAAACCCAAACCCCAACCTCATAATTCCTATAAACCCCAAAACCCATAATTCCTATATAAACCTCAAACCTTCAACATCCACAGCTCTGTACCTCGGCTGCTTGAGAGGTTCCCAGCAGCTGCGAAGCTGCAACGATTGGCTCTAGAGCCGCCTCCATGTACCCAAATGGGGGTTTCCGAAAATAGGGTACCCTAATATGGCACCCTAAATATTACGATCCTTATATTATAGGTGAATTCCAGGATCTCCGGCGCATAGTTTTTCCAAATACTTCGCGAGGACGAGGCCATATTAAGGTTCAGGGTTCAGGATTGCGCTGAAGGTTTGGAGTATAGGCTTCAGGGTCTGCGGGGCTCGGGTTTGAATTAGGGGTGTACATTCGCACCATACCCTCTGAGGAGCATGCCTTAAAATACTGTGTATAAGACCTAAGCCCTTGAAGCCTTAACAATCAACAAAAGTCGAAATGCAATTCCATGCTGCTTTGGGCTCCCTACTCAGGAAGACACTGGCTACCAGGTCATTGGATGGAAGGAATGGAATCTGAGCAATCCCTCGCAAGTGAACAGCAAAGCCCAAACCCAGGCAGCATCCTAGCCCCAGCCCTCAAATTCCGAATCCTGACAGCACATACCATCCACCTCAAAACCCACGTAAGGCTGCTTGTCATGCTGATTCTTCGTTTGAGGCTGAGCTTCTGGCGACCTATGCAGGTTGTGTACCAGTACGGGCGGGGAGCGCATGTTACGAACCGTTCCTAACAATGGTAGAGCGACTGTGAAATTTGCCTTGGGGCCACGGGACGTAAAAGTACTGTAAGGCTATTAATACCCCAGTTGGGGGTTTGTAATTGGTGGTAAGTATAACTATAATTCCTACGTTACTTATGACTTGTAACTCTACTTTCGGATTAAGCTCCCATATCCCGTAAGTTACAAGCGCAACCCACTGCTCTGAAATGTGGCCTCAGGAAAGCAGGCATCATCCGCCGTTGAGACAGCCTAAGTGAATTTTCGGCACTTGGTGAGGATCGCCCGTGGGATTTAGGCTGCTTGAAGTGTTAGCTGAGGAGTCAAGGTGTAGAGTTTGGGCTCACGCCAGTCAACCGGTCAACGGTCAACATGTCTACCAGTCCGCATGCCATCACTCCGGTACACGAGCCCACGATGCTGCAATCACGTGAGGTCCGGTCTTCGTAATCCCCATATTTCTGATGAACCCTCAAGCAAATATACCAAAGATCCGAACCTGCAACCTCACAGAACCCTAAACCCCAAACCCTAAATCCCTAAACCCTGAAAAATGAACCCTAAAGCCTAAACCCACGCCAAACTCTGAATCTTAAGCTCCGAGCACCAGGTCCTTCTTGAACCCATTAACATACTCCCCCAATAAGCCACAGAAATAAAAGGTTAAATTTTCCGATTCCTACTAAGTCCTCCTAAACGATAAGAACCCAAAAAGTTTTAAGGTGGGGTATTGGGGATCTATATAAGTTAAACAAACCCTAAACTCCGAACCCTCAGCCTTTATCATAGAACCGGCATAGGGTTCAAGTCGGCGCCGGGAAGCGCTAAGCAGTTGCGCCATGCGGAGAGCGCGGCGGAGGTCTCCGGGAGATGCCGCTGCCACCTTTCCAGAGAGTCCAATACAACGGTTTCAAGCTTTTGCTTCTAGGGTCCGGGTTTGGGTTTAGGTTTTAGGGGTTTTGAGATACTAAAAGGTTCGAGTTAAGATTGTAGCAAGCTTCAAAAAAAGGGTCCAGTACAAGGAAGATGCGCTTACTGCGGGTCTATATTCAGCTTCCCTGGTTTTTTGAGGACCCTGTAGGGTTTAAGGTCCTAGGCTTGCTACCACCCCAAATCCTAAACCCAACTCCCTGCTGAAAACCATGACAGAACAGGATTGAAAAGCGAAAGCGCTGGTTCGCCCTACCTCGCGGTCTGGATCTCATACCCTTCTCATCCTTATCCCCACCTCCTACTTGAATCTTCAAGGCAATTAGATCGAACCGAATGACAACTGGGCCGATTCCCGGATGATCTCCCTCTTTTAAACACCTACACCCAGCCCTAAACCCCAAATCCTAGCAACCACTTCATGAAGCAGTTGGGCCTGCTGGCAGAGGCCTTCGGATAAGGGCCGATCCTCTTGCCTGGTCCCAACAGGGCCCCAGTTACCGGGGATACTTGAAGGATCAAGAGACCTAGTAAGTAGGGTTGCAAGATGCTTAAAGAGAGGTAACCAGTTTATAACTCCTAAGTCATTTGATCCTTCATATCGAATATATTAAATACAATCCTAAGCCCTTTTCTCCCTAAATATTGCCCCGAACGGATGAGTAGGGCACCAAAGCGCTCAAGACTTGAGAAGCCGTGGTTGGGCATGTGGCTCCGCTCTCGAGTCCTGAAGCTTAGCTCGTCTTGCCTTATTCAATCCCTAGCTCAGAGTTCTAAACACGAATTCCTAAACCGCATACCCAAGACCCAAACTCAGAAACCGTTACGGTTGCGGAGCCTGCAGTCTTCGTATATGCTTCCAGGGGCACTCGGCAAACGACTGCCTAAACATGAAGCCCCAAGCCGTCATCCTTAGACAGCCACCGCTTCGAGTGCAGCGGGAAGGCCTTAAATATACCCTTTTCCTACTAGGCTCAAGTCCAGGGTTTAGACTTTGGGGTGCCGGGACCCTGAACCCTTGAACCGCCACCCTAAATTTAACCTAAGCACTACTTAGACGAAGAGGGACACCTATGGCCGAAAATGACGCTACTTGCAAGCCGATCACAGCTCCCCAAACTCGAACTAGTCACCTAAAACCCAGGTTGTAGATACAGATGTCTATTGTGGTAGGAAATCCAATATCAATATAGCTTTGTGCGGACGAACCCATATTCCCATTGAAATCAAGGCGCCCCCAAAGAGCTTATACGTATCTTGTACTTCAGCTCAAAAATAGACTCATAAAGCCTAGATCCTAGATCTGCGTGCATGCCTAAATCTTAAACCCCTGAACCCAGAATACCCCAACCAAAGATGACGAAATATGGCTTCAGAAACTCATGCTGTCTCTGAAACCGAAACCGGTGTTGCCTCGCCACTTCGGCGAGCTTGCGGGTGATGACGACATCCTTCGCGTCTTCAGGGATCGGTTTCGGCGCTCACACAGCGACAATCCAGGAACGGTTTTTAGGGTTCAGAGGGCATAAAGTGTAATGAGGGTTCGAACCAGAAGACCCTACGGAAGTACATAGATACTGTTGAATCCCAACTTGAAACTTAATGACGTCACCTAACTGGCATACCTACTATGTACTGACATCCGAAGGATACTTCGGGCGCCCTGGGGTTGTAAAGGCAGCAACACGGCCTGAGGCGAGCAAAATTGATGCTGAAATTGAGATCGTCAGGTTTAGGATTCCCTTCTTGCTAGTGGGGTCTGCTTTATGTGTCGCCGTTGTGTTTCTTTGCTGCTTGGATCGGCTTGGGTAAGGTATTCAGACAAGAAACAGAAACATTTTTTGCTGTTCTTGCATAATGAACTGGAAGACTGAAGGTATATGTGTATACAGCTTATGAATATCTACATTTCATATAATGTAAATATACATACGTATATATATATATATATATATATATATACAGTTCATATATACATATATATATATATATATGTGCTATATAAGAACTGCATAGGGTTCATACGCGATGCATGCATGTACATACATGTACACATGTAACATCTGCGCATACTTACGTATGCATGTACGTATCTATGCATACCGTGCCGTTGGAAACAGAAAAGAAAGACATCAGTTAAGATAACGCAGCCCCATAACATAGGGGCCTTACTCATTAGAGTAGGGTTTTCGGGCCCAGTCTACTATAACCATAAGGAGGAACCTCCAGCACCCCGAAATAGTATAGGGAATCATTAGGGCCCCCTATATTAAGTGCTGAAATTCGGGCATCGGGAACCCTTGTCTCGAGACGTCCAATGAAGATAAACCTCAGCTCTCAGGTAAACGGCTACTTGGCAAAACTCGGCACCCCAACGGTGGATGATATAAATCCTGCATGACCTTAAGGACCCTAAACCATGGGAATGATGGTATATTCTTTAGTTTGGGTAATGCAGGGTTTATCTCATCAACCGAAGCACTAAACGGCTGGTGCATCAGGAACAGCAGTTCTCCTCTCCCAGAGGATCATCTCGAGCTTCGAAGCAGTTTTCACTGTTGAAGTATAAAAGAGTAGATTAGATCCCGACGGTCTTTGAGCGCCAGTTGCTTATGCAAGAAGTCAATTACTACAGTGGCAAAAGGACAGAAATCCACTACCCGAAATATCGCACACTCGGAACCACCCTTTTAGTGCTGCGAAGATGCTGCGAGGTTGATGCCTTGGACATTTGGGGTTCGTTAGGCTGAGGAGTTTAGTGTCTAGGGGTTTATGGAGTGTTTATCGTCTAGCTGTGCAGACCTGTTGAGAGCTTCGGGCTTCATAGTTCGTCTCAAAACCAAACATCTTGAAAGAAAACGATGCGCAGGTTAGCTGCAACCTGCCGACTAAGGTGGATCTAGCTTTTGTCAGCGACCCCCGCCCCCCACTCTTCTCCCTCCCGGGATGCTCTTCTCTGTCCAGGATAGTAGTATGTGATCCTTGACGAAACTCTGAACCTTAGCCGAAATCCTTGAACCCCCTGTTGTGCCGGACATGTTTCGATTTGGAAAACAAAGCGCAAAGGGTCGGAGAGATGATTTTTAAATGATCTAAGCAATGCCCTGAGGGCCCAAGTACCCAATTCTCATTATGTTCTCAAGACACACAAAACTACTATCCCAAACCCCAGTACCTAATTATTGGGTCCTTTGGACCCTTAGGGATGTATTTCCTAAGCCCAATTATGAATGTAGGAACCGGATTAAGAAACCTTGGGCCTGTATTGCGGTTCTTTATATGAATCCTACTATTTTGGGGTTATAGGCTCCAGGTTTCTTAATCACGTTCCTACAGTCCTATAGAACCCTCGTTTTAGATCCCCCCTTTAAAAGAACCCTAAGCAAGGCCAAGGGTTTCTCAATCAGGCTCCTACCGTTAATTGGGAGTTAGGATTAGGGGGACCCTCGGGGATATAGACCCTCTCAATAAGCTCCCTTTTAAGAGAGCCAGAAGTAGGGTTCAGAAGGGGTACCCTTTAAGGGGTCTCCGTCATCATGCTACCCATTAATGATCATTAATGTGTTTTTTGGGGCCCTCCGGAGCTTCTACAACAAGAGCTCCTCGGGAGCCGACAGACTCTTTGCACCTGCACAACTTAGGGTTTATAGGGTTTATAGGGCTTTAAGGGTTTAGGGTCTTGAGGGTTTCGGGTTTTTAAGGGTTAAGGGTTTAGGGTTTAGGGTTTAAGGGTTTTAAGGGTTTAGGGCTTTGAGGGTTCAGGGTTTAAGGTTTAGGGTTTAGGGCTTCAAGGGTTTATAGGGTCTTGGAACTGCAACGCAGAGCAAATATAGAACCCTAAAGGTAAGAATCGAGCAGCAGGACCCGAACTAAGCGACCACGAATTCTGCCACAACCCGAAAACCTTCTACTATACAACTCGACGAAACCGCAACGCCCCGCTAAAGGAAAGCTACTGCGAGGTGTCCTGAAGTTGCTTAAAGGATCATGGGACTTAGTAAGTATGGTTAAAAGTACCTTAATTGGGGCTATAAGTAATTATAAGTGTAGTTACCCTAGTAATAACCCCAGTTACTGAGTCCCATGATCCTCCAAGTGAAGAAACCCCATGTCTACCACCTACCTGCCCAATACAAACAAGCGCTGGGACAAGATGCGGATCTCCAAGCACAGCTTCCAGAGGGGAGTATCCTGTCTTTAGAGAATGGGCTTGCTATTCAGGTTCCCGTGGCTCCGGAGCTTCTGTCAGCAAGTCCACTTGGAGGGTGGGGGGACTTAGTCTGTAGTTATTTTTTTGAGTTGTAGGTACCTTAATAGGGACCCCAGTTGGGGTTATGGAACTTATAACGGTATAAAATAGCTACTTACTAAGTCCCCTGACCCTCCAAGCAAGGTCAAGGGATTGCAGATCTGGAAACTTAGAACTTCCCAGTATTGCTTTGAGTTTCGATCCCGATGGCTTGAAAGTTACCTCATGTTCTTCGAAACAGATGCTCTGCTTGGAGGACTGAAGGACTGGATGATGCGTATGGTGCAGCTATATTAATAGCTATATACGGCCGTAAACGACTGCCCACAAATGGTCCAGACCTATGTAGTAGACAGCTGAGAAATCGAAGGGTCTCCCTTTGCAAGACGACTTGTCGGACTGCATCCCCTGCAGCTCTGAACCCGACCGCCCTTCAAATCCTGAATCCTGCACCGCGGAGACTAGCGAGGTGAATATCCTGCAAGAACTCTGCAGTCTGTGGTGTGCTAAAATGAATAGAAGCCTTGGCAAAACGACTCGGATAGCGGGGTATATGCCATATAATGAATTCGGACAAGCCTCAGGAGAAGTAGCATTTCTTGCTATTCAGACCACTATATTCACCCTTGAAGTCCCCTGCGCCTTGCTGTTGATCATCCCCTCGCCGGCGACGAAAATTACGGGGCTTCGCGCGACCTTCCCACTGCATAGAATCGGGAGAAGGGTTTAGTTAGTAGCATTTCGAATTCAAGAATGGTTTTGTGGTTTTACCGGTTTGGGGCAAACGGGTTGTGCCGAAACCTAAACCCTACTTGAAGGATCATGGGACTTAGTAACTAGGGTTATAATTAAGGTAACCATACTTATAATTACATATAACCCCAATAAAGGTACTTATATCCATACTTACTAAGTCCCCTGATGCTCCAAGTACGCTGGGAGATTTCAATTCAAGGCTTGATGTGCCCCCGAGAGCCCGAGCAGGAGACCCCCTGGCCCTAGAAGATGCCTTCCTCAAAAAGGAAAAGGAGGGACCCTTAATGGGGACCCCTGGGACCCTATAATGGGCTATATAATGGGTATATAATAGCTATATTAAGGGTATATACCGAGGGGTCCTTATTAAGGGTCCCTCCTTTTACCCTTGGACTTCCGTTTCAGGATTTAGGGTCGCTATCTTGCCGTTCTGCAATCATGATTCAAAGGATAGCTCTTGGTTGAGCTCCTTGCGCCATATGGGAGTTTCCGAAAATAGGGGATCCTAATATGGTACTCTAAAGATTCGGATCCATATTATGAAGGCCCCAAAATAAGGTACCCCCCTAATCTTCGGAAACTCCCATATGGGTATGAAGCCTTCATCCAGGAGCCTCACACTTTGGTCGGGATTCTTCGGCACATGACGCAGCCAAGGCTGTGGGGGGCTGCGGGAACCCTGCATCCTAAATTCGAAACCCTATGCCTCCAGGGGCCTTGCTATGGGGTCCTTAAGGGGTCTAGGGCCCTAACTATGAGGTCCTTGGAGGGATAGGGGAAAGATTGAACTCTAACCCTCGCCCGGCAAAACAACCGACGCACATAGACACATGAACACATAGACATAAACTAAACCAAACTTTCGGGAACCCGAGACCCGAAAGCCCGAGATGCTTTGCCTGCAATGCTTGTGCCAGCCACTCCTTCCTCAGCTGATCGCACAACTCGCATACTGTCAAAGACTTCTAAAAGTAGCATAAGGGCCCTGTGCGTACAGGCTGGCTATCTCGAAAGTTCGTGCTGCTTTAGGGCATCGTGTAGACTGAGTCGCCTACTTGGGTTTGGGGGGTAGCCATGCTAGGGAGTGTTTTGCAAGGAAAGAGTATTGGGGACCCCGACATAGACCAACATGTTAGGATCCTTCCTGCGAGGACCCCTAAGAGTAGTACAGTAGCCTTTGTAGCAGACAAGCGGCGCAGCAACCGATGGCACTTCGTTCAGGTTGCAAACGAAGACCTTTTGTCTGTTTGGTTTTATGAGCCCAGGCTGGGTTGCGGTTTGGGTTTAAGGGTTTGGGAAAATTTGGGCAAGTTTCAAGAGCAGAACCACACCAACGACCGACCCTACTGGTTCGTGAGGAAGAACACCGACGTGCCTTGGGTACCTAAACCAACATACACCACATGTTCGACCATTCACTGAGGCATGGTGCTTCCATTGTTGCTGTTATGCTTCTGACTACCGTTCTAGCATTGAGCTCTTCACGGTGGGACTATGATTGTCGCGAGAATGTCAATCAGTGGAAGGACTGTGACATTTGACATTTAAGGTTGCGATGGTGTGAGGGATGATGGCGACGAAAACTGTCATGCTATTGGCGGCACGGCTACGATGAGGCCTGTGACTGATGAGATGTTCATGGCGGCAAGGATGAATAATAAAATGATGGTATTTGGACGACAGCTTCATGTCTTGTATGCATGAACAGTTGCATTTATGATGTTGTGTGCATGTCACTCTGGGGAACAACTGCAAGTCTTCTATGCTTGAATGGGTCCATGTATGATGTTGCGAGCATGTCACTCTGGGACCGGCCACTGCTTGCACGCCATTTCCGCTGATTAACAAACAACACTACCTTAAAGGTAATGATGAAGGGGTGGTTCATAAGGATCCGACTATACATGGTTGCCCTTCAAGACGGGGGGGTTTGTTAGTCAGGGGTTTTCGTACTTCAACCTACAGTAGAAGCCCAAAAGTTGGAAACCCAATAGCCTCAATCCTTAAGAGAAATGTCATAGGGAATCCCAGCACTATTTGGCCTTAATCCGGTTTCCAACTTTATGGGGTTTACTGTAGAGGGTATAGAGTTTAAGAGGGTTTATAGGGTGCATAGGGTTATAGGGCTTAAAGTACAGTGTTTAGGGCTTTAGGGTTTATGGGGTTCACTGTAGCAGAAAGCTCAAAAGTAGCCGGTTCGCCAAGTCCTCGGAGAGCTGGCGGCCATCCCTGGCGCAAATGCCCCCTCTTTCCCCTATGTTACCCTATGCCTCCAGGGGCCTTGTTATGGGGTCCTTAAGGGGTCTAGGGCCGTAGCTATGAGGTCCTTGGAGGGATAGGGTTAATTCACTTTTCTGCGGGGATTTCGGCCCCCATATATACCCCACGTATATTTCACCCCGCCGAAAATGCGACTTTCCGTGGTGCGGGCCGACTAGGTACGCTATAGGGTTTAGGATTTAGGGTGTTGGGCGGCATGTAATCAGAAATGTTGGACCTCGGCGCACACACCCTCGAGGTGTCAGAACTGCAGGTTTAGGGCTTCAAGGGCTGAGCTTGGGGTTTAGGGTTTAGGGATCTTCGGGGTGTGAAAGGCCACAGTAGAAGCTGCTTGAACACAGCCTCCTTGCTGTCCTCATACGCACACAAGTCTTCGGATGGCATGTTTCGGTTTTGAAGCGTTTTCGAAGGGGCAGCCATACTCCTGCCATCAACTAAATATCGAACTGCTGCACCGAGCCCCAATTGTAACCCGACCCGCGAATTATTGTTTGCATCCCGGGTGTCGGGTTCAAAGTGACAAGCTTGTACAGGTCACATGTGTTGAGTGTATGCTGAGAGCAACCAATGTAGCTGAAAAAACAGGTACGATCCGATCCTAAGGGAATAATCCCTTCCCCCTAACATTCAACCCCCCCAATATAAAAACTCCCGGCCACCGGAATTTCGCGGTTTCGGGCCCCACATTCAATTTAAAAGGGACTTGGGGGGGCTAGATCTGTATGTGTTTTACTTGAACGAAGATTACAGTAGTACTAAAGCAGCAGAGCTTTAGGGTCTAAGGGTTTAGGGCTCAGGGCTGAAGCTTTAGGGCTTGGGGCTTTCGGGCTTAAAGTTTAGGGCTCAGGGCTTTCGGGTCTAGGGCTAGGGCTCGAGGTTTAGGGCTTAGGGCTTCAGTAGGGCCTCAGGGCTCCAGGCTTAGGATAGCTAGCAGCTGGGAGTCCGGGTACGTGGATGCACCGAAACCCACCCCAATATTAAAACTAAACCTCCGAAATCCAGTTTTTATATTAGGGACGGGGGGGGAGCCCTTTAATATTAGGGGAAGGGATTAATGGATCGTTTAATTAACAATCTTGTCGATTTTTGCAAAATTAAATCATGGCCAGATGTTCTTCTATGCCTCAGAACATGCATTCCGGGTATGTAGCTCTGCATGCCCACATCCGAAACCTTGAAACCCCCGACTTTGGGGGTCTCTGGCTTTCTGAGTTCCCGGGCCCAAGAGAGGTAGACCTACTCTACTTGTCGGGTATCATGGGGAACTAAAGCGTTAACCTTTTTGATTACATAGGGATTATATAGGGACTATACTACCCAAAAAGGATTAAAGGTTACCTACTCTACTACTAGGTTACAGTAGCTTTACTACATCCTGGACCTCTGAACCCGAAACCGACAAGAAGAAAAGGCTCCAAGCTGGCAAGGGTCATATAGTCACTTCCCAGGTATGCCAACCCCCCCACCCCCCCCCAAGTGCCCTGTAACAGAGCCCTCATGACACTTAATAGTGGGCATTTAGGGTATGATAGAGGGTAGTTTGGGGGTCTAGGCAATCCACAAGCCCCAAAGTCCTAGACCCTGAACCCTGCCTCTGCTTCTTGGACATGTTCTCGATGAAGTTCCGCCCCGCCGGCTCTTCCAAGTCGTGCCTTGCTTGGAGGTTCATGGGTATTGTTGTAAGTGGGGGTTAGGGTTTAGGGTAGCGCCAGTCCAAACAAGGTTTTTGGGGCGTACTACTGCCTAACTCGCTGGGCATCATAAGGAATTTAAATAGCGGAATCAACGGTTGAAGATAGTCCTCGAGAAGGCAGCGCAGTCCTATGTTTCGGTGCGCCTGTTTCTGATATAAGATTAGGGTTTAGGGTTCGGGTCTAGGGTGGGGCTATAAACCAAAAACTTTACCTACAACCCAGTACACCCGGGTACTTGTCCAAGATTGTCGACTACACTCCCTTTACATTGAGGCTTATGATATGCAGCTAGTTGAAGTCTCCAGCGTCTGACTCCGGTTTGGGGTTGAGGGTTACCCTAAACCCTACTAAAACCGAGTCAACTAGAATAAACCTTAAACCCTAAACCCTACTAAAACCGAGTCAACTAAAATAAACCCTAAACCCTAAACCCTACTAAAACCGAGTCAACTAAGTTGGCCCCAGATCCAACGAAGCCCACGACACAACGTGTCCTAAGCGAGGCCTGAAGTGGAGCTCCGGGAAACCTTATCATCAAAGGAGGGTTAGGTGGGTTTTTGGGCTTAGGGGTTTAGGGTAGGGTTCAAGGCATAAGGGTTTAGGGGGGTTTTGGGGTTTAGGAAGTTTAGGGTTTAGGCGGTTTAGGGTAGGGCTTTAAGGGAGAACAGGGGCGCTTTGGCCCAACGCTGAAAATCAAAGAGCAACCTCTGAGGCGATGGCTCAAGGAAGTGACCGCGCCTCGACTGGTTTAGGGCTTAGGGTTTAGGATTAAGGGCTTTTAGGGTTTAGGGCTTAGGGTTTAGGGCCTAGTTGGGGTTTAGGGTTTAGGGCTTAGGGTTTAGGGTTTGGGGCTTAGGGGTTAGGGCTTGGGGCTTAGGGTTTAGGGGATTTGGGGTTTAGGGTTTCGGCGCTCAGACTCGGACAATCCAGGCGAGGCATATGGTTCGGAGTCTGTTGAGTGAGACAACTCTAAGGGAGCCTTTCAACAAACAACGCATATCCCATACGGCTACAGCTTAGGGTTTACGGTTTACGGTTGATGACATAAATCTTGCATTACCCATAATAAGGAATATACCATAACTCCCATAGTCTAGGGTCATTACGGTAATGCAGGATTTATATGGGTGGTCGTCAAAGTTATGGTCCCTTTTTTGGGTACCCTAAATATGAGGTGCCGTACTATAATAGGGACCCAAAAAGGGACCCTAATTTTGACAACCACCCATATAGTAACCCTTATATAGACCCTTTAAAGGAACACCAAAACCTACTATAGAGCCCTTTAAAGGAACCCCTATAGTACCCTTATGATATACAACCACCCATATGAATTTATAAGTCCCATATCACCAACCGTGGAGTTTAGAGGGCTTCCTCTTTTCGCATAGACCGGGAGGCGGGGGAGGGGGGGGAGGGGCCTCGGCTTCTGAAGGGTTCCACTGCAGCTCTGGCACCCAAGCAGCTTTTAGAGTTTAGGGTTTAGGCTTTAGGGTCCCTAAACCTTTTTGCATTAGGGACCCTTAACCCTAAACCTTCACTCTTGGTGGGCATTTTCTATGGGACTGCCACGCGGTTTTGAAAGGACTAAGCGGGTCGTGTGCTGGGGCTCGAAGTCTGATAATATGAACTGCCCAAGACGCGAAAACCAATTCAGACAAGGAGAGTTCATGAGCCGATGAGAGGCTACTGAAGCGAGCACTGCTTCTCTTACTCTCAGTCTTCTCCTGATGATTCAGAACAATAAAAAGCTGTGTTATTGCTTTTTCATTCTTCTTCCTGTTTTTAGAAGGCATTGGAATCTCTGCGGTGCCCGAATCGGAAACACAAGCTATGGGGACTGACATTTTGGGTTTAGGAATTCAGGCTCGGGATAAGGTAGGTAATGTAGGGGCCTGAAGGATTAGAGTAGTATCTTGGATAATGTTGCTACAGGGGGGTGCGATCACTATATTTTCGGGCGACATAAACCCTAGACCCTAGACTCTAAACCCTAACCTTGAGCCCTAAACCCAAACCCTAAAGACTGAACCCTAAACCCTGAACCCTAGACTCTACACCCTGAGCCCTAAACCCTGAACCCTAAGCCCTAGACAAACCCTGAGCCCTAAACCCCGAATCCTAAGCCCTAGACCCTAAACAAACCCTAAGCCCTAAACCCTAAACCTTAAGCCCTAGACCCTAAACCATAAGCCCTAGACCCTGAACCCTAAACTCTAAGGACATGTCATTGTCCCAAGGCTGCTCATCCTTCAACCATCGTATATATCCCAAGCCGCAGAACTTGAGCGCTGCTTGCAGCTTGAAATGACGGATGCCAGCACCGCACTGATGAGCTGGCACCCTTTTAACGGGGTCTCTCTGAAGTTGAACCGTGTACAATATACTATAATAAGAAACATAAAGCAACAAAATAATGATATGCTATGTGATACGCTGTATAACAGACTATAGTAGACCTCCTTTACTAAAGGACCGCAATAACTAAGCCCCAGACGAACCAATCCGGCTAAACCCTCGAAGCTGGAATTTCGGTTGAGGCTGAAGCTCTCAGCAGGAGGGTTGTGGCCTTGTTACTCCCCCAATAAGCCACAGAAAGAAAAGGTATAACTTTCCGATTCCTACTAAACTGTAAGAACCCAAAAAGTTTCAAATGTTGGGTATTGGAGATCTAAACTTTAGACTGGAGAAAGGCTGCGCGCACTGGGGCTGGGGCAGCCGACGGACCAGACATCTGACCTGGGCCATCTCCTAATTTTCGGTTCGGTCTCAACGGCTTCGGGTTTCGGCGCTCACACTCGGACAATCCAGGCAAGGCATATGAGTTCGAGTCTGCAAAGTGACACGACACTAAGAGGCTTCGTCACTACGTTTCAGCAACAAAGTGTTTCGGGTTTAGTGTTTAGGGTTTTTTCTTCCTACCTAGCAAGGACGAAGCCCGCCTTGCAGGGCAACTCCGAAGTAACAGACGAAAAAGCTGTGCTCGGGTTTAGGGTTTAGTTTAGGGCTTTGGTTTCTCTATTGCCCAGGCGAGTGAGAAAGCTCCGGAGCTGGAGCAGCAAGCCACACAGGGTTTCGGTGGTTTTTGGCAGACCCCTACCCCAAACCCAAAAGCCCTAAAGCCCCGAACCGTATCGATTCTGAAGCTACCCGACCTGGAGCTCACCTTCCTTAGGACAAAGTGCGAAGCAAGAGGGCTTAGGCTAGGGTTTACCTAGACCCCAACAAATTATGTGGGAATAATGGCCTTCTGTGCGGAATAATCGCCTGTATTGCGTATTACCTTCAGGTAGGGTTTAAGCTTCAACCGACCATCCGGCACTGCCAGTCAAACTCCTACCTTGGATAAAGCAACAATGTCGTGTCTTTAATGCTGACTCCTGCACCCACTAACACCCCGGGAGGAGGTCAGGCGCAGTCTCCAACACCCCAAGAAATTTGGGAATCTCACGTCCCCAAACTCTACATACACCACCGGCTCCGAGGGTTCCTGACAAACCACACGGAAAGGGAGCAACGGGATAGGCTTCGGAATGTCGGAATGGCTTGACACGCCGAGATGATTGCATGCTTCTGCGGAGTCGTCTTTGTTGCTTGCGGCTGCATGTGGCGAGGGTATGGTAGACTACAAGGTGTGTCCAGACTCTTTAAGACTCTACCAGTCGTCATTCTTTAAGGGGAGTCCATGTTGCCCCCATGTGAATACCTTCCGCTCTCCTCTCCGAAAGGCCGGAGCCTGAAGTCAGGCTAAAACCAAAACCCAGTACTGAGATAAGGACGATTCCCATGTGTTCCCCAAACTCTTCAATCTTAAGCCCTAACCCTTGCCCTTTGTGAAGAGCGCCAACGCCTTTTAAAACTAAATAGGTCCCAAGTTCAAACCTGTTCGACACGCCCAGCTGTGCTGAGAAAGTGGCGCCCGCCGTTTTTCCGCACCCATAAGGTCCCACAACCAGAGCTGCCTTCGAAGACTTCAAAGGTGCTCTTGCTTTTCGGTTTCAGCGCTCACAAAAGGACGACCAGGCGAGGCATGTGGTTCGAGGTCTCATGACAGGTGAAACCATCTGAGGGAGAGGAGTTAGCCCAGAAACAACACGTCATCCTAAACCCTAAGCCCGAACCCTACCAAAAGGTAGGCGGCCCAACCCCAATGGAGGTTTTCACCTTCAAGTTTACCTAGTTGAAGGTCCCAGCCACTACGATGGATTAGACAACCGTTACGGTCATAGGTGCCACAATGGGACTAATGAACCGTTTAGGGTTCGGGGTTCAGGGAAAACTGCACGGCTCCAGTTCCCTAAAGAATAGGTTTGTAACCAAACTAAACCCTAAACCCTAAACCCTATATGTAACTCAGTGCTGGAGCCGGGCGTGTTGTTGGTGTTGCTTGCTTTCGTTTCGCCTGGTGTGCGTTTTGAATGTTGTACTTGCCCTGTGTGTTTTATTGCACTTTGGGTTTGCGGGTATCGTCGGGGTTGTGGGATGCTGATCTACGGTCTTGTTTTAAGGAACTTTATCAACAACAATTACTGTATTAGGCTTCATGGTTCATGCGGACCGGCACAAGGAATTAAACGTAGAACCAAGTCCTGTAAGCAAATCCTCTGCCTGTGCCCGCCAACAGATTGGAGTAAAGCTCGAGGCTTATAGCGGGCTCAGGACGACGAATGCCAGCCTAATGTCATGGGACAAGTATCTTCCGATTCGTAGAACGGGTCGGAGGACCATTAGCAACACAATTACAAAGATAATGTTAGTGTTTGGAGCGACCATGATGGGGGTAACAATGCAATACCAGTAGTCTCAGCACAGTACCGTATCTCACTATGACACTATGCACATAGACTATATGTAATTACTTGAATATGTAAGCGTCCAAACATGTCGGTCACTCGCCCCTGCTGTTTGAAAAGCTTGTTTTCAAAGACGTCCTGAAGCCCGGAAGCACCCAAACCTTGAGTTCTCAGATCCATGCCGGTGCTTTTACAAATAAGTCAAAGCCAGACAACAATCCTCAGCCTTAAAACCTGGGCCCTGCACTCTGGGCCATAATGCCTCAAATGTGGATACAAATCTCTCAAGCTCTCGAGGCTGAGCTACTCAGTTCAAAATGGAAAGCTAGACATAACTGGACGAAACAAACATCGTCCCTATACTCTCTAATTTCTTGTTACTTCATCTTGATGTGAAGCCCTAGGCCCCAACCCTAGATTCTCTTGACCCGACATCTCCAAACCCAAACTTGAACCCTAAACGCCTATACGCCAATACGCCATCTCAGGGGTCTTTAATGGAGCCCTTATCTCTCTCTCTCTCTCTCTCTTTCTCTCTCTCGCTGTCTCTGCCGTTGCACCCAGAGAGCCCTCCTTGTCCTGACTATTTGGGGCATAACGGTCTAGGAACACAAATAAAAAAACACCAACGCTGCACTTGGCTTCAGATCGCACCTGCCGGTTGGCCCCTCCAGGCCTGCATCCAAAGGCAAGTCAAGAGACGTTGACAACATGCGGGAACAGTGGGAATAGGCGTTCGTGAAATGTGCCTCTAGTTCCACCGCGAATCCTACATAACAAGCCCGTACAAGTTTGTGAAATCATCTGCCTGATACACATGGTGAGTCTAGTCACCTATGTACTATTCGTTCATCACCATGCCGGTATTGTTCTTGGGCTGGACAGGATCAAGTGCAGACCACAGTCAAACCTCTCTTCAGCAGCAGCACTTTGAGCCTTTTGTACCTACTACGACCAACGGACAAGCAAGGCGAAATGCCACTAACGACGTGGAACTGAGGTATCCACGTGGTGCTGTTGCTGCTGTTGTCGAAAGCCCTCTGAAGAACATGCACACTGACGATGGACATTCGAGCCGCAATGCCGATTCACAGGATCTCTAGAAAGGATAAACGGCAAGATGTTAAATACCGGCTCGCAACCAAGGCCTTGTGGTCCGTGATACGGAATGCCCGAAGACCTTCATTTAGAAAGCCTGGCAGCTTCCAAACGAATACGCCGTTTTAAATCACGAAGAAGGGTCACGCTGAGCCCCTGCCAACCCGAGAAGATAACACCTGCAGGCTGAAGGCTCCCCGAAAAAACCCTCAAGTGGGAGTTTCCGAAAATAGGGGACCCCAAAAATAGCACCCTGAAGAGTAGGACCCTTGTTATAAGGACTCCAAAAGAAGGTACCCCTAATTTTCGGAAACTCCCAAGTACCCTCCGTCGTGCAGAGACTGAAGCAGAGCATCTGGCGGCAACGAACACGAACTCGAATCCGAATCCCTAAAAACCCTACCTGGAACTAAGCCTGCTTTTTTTAGGGTCCCCAGAGATTCGGGTGCATAAAGAGAACCCGTAAAACAAGTAGGCTGCTTTGGGTGGTTTAGGGTTGTGCCCTGAAGCCCCAAAACCTTAAACCCCCAAGCCTTGTAAACCCCGAAGCCCTAAACCCTATAAACCCTAAAGCCCTAAGCAATCAACAAATCCTAAACCCTATAAGCCCTATACCGCAGAGCCCATCGTCCGCGCCTCCAATCCTTCAGCCAGTCTCTTAGCTGGTCCCAGGCCTCTCCAGTCTCGCGGGTTTGGGGCTTTAGGGGTTTAAGGCTCCCATTAAGGGATCCTAAGTTTCTGAATAGCCCCTCTATAATAAGGGTAATTGCCCCTTTTCCTCCTGATCGGATTTAAGAAGGTGACCTTAAACTTAAACGGGCAAAAGCGTACTACTCAGGACGTTGGGAACTATAGGGGTACTGCAGGCCTTGGGGCTTCAGGGATTTTAGGGTTTTGGGTCTGAGGGTTTTGGGGCAGGGCTTCAGGGTTTATAGATGTAGGGTTTTTCTGAGACTCACAGTCGTACAAGCCTGGCGAAGTCTGCAGCGATACTGTCCCCTTTTAGGGTTTAGGGTTATGGTTTGGGATTTAGCGTTTAGGGTTTCACACTTAAACCTAGCCTTAACTCTGACACGAGACCCCGCGCCCTGTGCCCCCCTTGAATCTAGGCCCCTATAGCGGAAGTGCCAGGTTCCAATACCGACCCTAAACCCTGAACCTCAAACCTCGGCAGACCTGAACAGCTTTGAAAAAAAAAAACGACAGACGACAAATGCAATTTCTACAACGGCCTCTATAATTTCCGCCATAATTTCTTGTAGGTTCCTTATGCAACTATACTCTAGTTTACCTTAAAACATAATTATTCCAAATGTTTGAAGCTCCTAGAATTTCTACTATGTTTTACCCTAAAGCACAGGTCTGAATCCTGGATGGATGTGGGGATGCCTTCTTTGGCCGGAGGTCCTTTTGAGCCATCGGCGCATGCTTCTCTGCCCAGTCGACGAGCACCTTGCCGACGGCTCGATGTTAGAATCTACAGGCTCTGGGTGAAGTAATCCTACACCCTAAAACCCTCAAGCCCAGCATAAGGGTCGGGCAAAAGGAGTAGCCACAATCAAATTGTTTTCTGACGACAGCCCGAACGCTTTGGTCTGGAGGCCAATTCAATATCTCAGTCTTTGAGTATTTATTACAAAAGCGCCACAAAAGCTGCTCGACTACAAAGTGAATAGCACGGCAGATGCTCGAAGGGGGCACAAGTTGCCGGCCTCGGGCTTTAAGCTGAGTGCCCACAGGAACCCCCAAGGATCAATGCTACCACGCCACAAATAAGACCCAACACTTTTCAAAAATGCCGAAGCCCACCAGTAGCTAAGTACCCTCCCTGAACCCTGTACACCTTAAACTTCCTAAACCCTCTGTTGACAAACGCACAGCCAAAAATCTTCCTAAACCTTCTGTTGACAAAAGCACGGCCAACAATCTTCCTAAACCTTCTGTTGACAAAAGCATGCCCCCAAAAAAATCACCACACTTGGGTAGTTGTCAAAATTATGGCCCCTTTTCGGGTACCCTAAATACTAGGTGCCGTACTATCATAAGGACCCAAAAAGGGACCCTAACTTTGACAACCACCCACTTTTCTCCCTGCCTTCTCTGGCTTCGGAGCCTCCTTCTTCGGGCCTCCGCTGAACACATTCGCATGAGGCGGGAGGTACTATAGGGGCCTTGATAACTAGAATAGGGTTCCTTTGAAGGGGCCTACAGAGTTATTATAAGGGATCTATAAGGGCACTATGTTATAGAGGCCTTGATAACTAGAATCCGGTTCCTTGAGTTTCTATAAGGGATCTATAAGCAAAAAGGGTACTATGATACAAGGGCCTTGATAACTAGAGTAGGGTCTTGAGGCCCGCTGTATTATAGTTGTAATAAGGAGCCCCCCGAAATAATGTTAAGTATTTAGGCCCCTATAGTATGCAACGCAGCCTGAACTTGACCGCCAACTATTACCAACACCAGGCCATGTTGCCACAAGCAAGCATGTATGCCTCTATTGCAGTTTCGCGTACCAGGACCAGGCTAATGGAAGTGAGGCTGTACTCAAACAAACTCGTAGCATGCTCTACTGCACAGTCCAACTGATGAAATTCTCGTCAATGGCTGCGACTTGCCAACACGAAGTGCCAACATGTGGCGACATGGTTCTCAACAGAGGGCGTGAGGGTCGATATGGCACTTTGGTCCCAAGCCGGGGGCATAACAGACAATGAAGCGATCGTTGAGCATTCTCTGTCTGCAGCGGCTATTGATTACCCTCTGACCTCCAACTTAAGCCTGCGAGGACGTGGCGGCAACAGCCCTGACACTGAGATACGGGTTCAATCTGGGAAGGTTCCTACCAAGACGCTATAATTGTCGTAGCCTTTTCCTAGCAGCGCACACTCACTAACTTTTGGAGATCGTGAAGACTGCATCGAGCCAAGGCTAAATGCCAACATCCCATAGCCCCCTAACAGCCCTTGAACCCGATATCCCCAGAGCTCATAACCCTGAGGCACACGTCCAAATCCAGCTGAGTTGTGTCCGAACTTGGGGAAGTGCCTGCAGCGCTGGAAGGCTCGATAATCTCCAGGTCCTTCTCCTGCTTTTCTCTTGTGGTCTTTCTGGGCTTGTGCGCAGGTGTCGGTTGGGGTCATAGATGCTTGTGGCTATAGATACCTTAGTATGTATATCCGCACTTGCAACGTCTCCCGATCCTTCAGGTGGAACCCTTAGCCTCCATAAGACCCGACAAATCCCGAAAGAAACCCGCAAGACCCTTTAAGTACCTCCTTCCCAAATACTTAACTTTCCCCACCTATTGAACTACAGCAACTCCCTGCGTAACCCCAAGGCTTTCAGGACTCATGCATTAAGGCTTTTGGGCCATTTTGAGCCTTACTTGGAGGATCAGGGGACTTGGTAAGTATGGATAAAAGTACCTTAATTGGGTTTTTAAGCAATTATAGATATGGTTACCTTAATTATAACCCTAGTTACTAAATAAGTCCCATGATCCTTCAAGTTAGGGTAACAACCACCCTTCTGTCCTTGGGGGGCGCTGCCGGCGCTGGAGACTTTGACCGAGCCTCGACTTGGAGGCCTGGCTGCAAAAGGTCCCAACATCCGGACCTGAATCACTAGGTTGATGATATGGGTAGTTGTCAAAATTAGGATCCCTTTTTGGGTACCGTAAATAGTAGGTATTGGGGATCTAAGCCAACATCCGGACCTGAACAACTACCAATGCGGTCTGCAACTATGCAAATTATAATTACAAGGTTTCTGCAAACTATCCAACCTATACTTACAAGGTTTCTGCAAGAGTTCCAGGAAGGTAGGACCTACATCTTGAGCGCTTTGGCTTGAGTTTGGCTTGTCAATGCAGCCTTCACCCTAACCTGAAAACCCTTATGCCCTCGACTTCTCCAAACAACCCCATGCCCTATCTTCCTGGAACCCATACCCGTGAACTAGGGCAGTTGCAACTTCAGACACTTCAGACGGAAAGCTTCGAGGTGTTGTCGGGCAAGCATGTTTAGCAAAAAGGGGGTCTAAGGTAATCGACCCTTACAGAAGCTTTGCGACCTTTCGTTTAAGTTCCTTTATAGAACCCCGATTCAATCCGCTTTTAGTCCGGAGTTTTACGTAGCTTGGAGGTCCCCTCCAGTCCAGAGCAACTCTCTTCAGGGCAGTTGAAAAATGTCCTTCAAAGAAATCCGAGTTGCTGCGTCATGATCGACCTACCCTAGCCCAAAAAAGGTCAACCTATTCAATAATGGTAGGATTTTATGAACCCCAAATGGTTTAAGGTTACCTACACCGTCAAGACCGAAGCCATAGACCCCAAGCTCTACACCTTATCAACTACAAACCTTGAAAGCTGACTCCCAACATGCCCCCAAACTTCCATCCACCAAACTCACCGATTTTTCACGTTTCACTAATGAAAAAGTGCACCTGAAGCAATCCAAACCCAAAACCTGTACCTCCAAAATCCTGAGCTGGAAGCCCCCAAGACATGTCGCAACCAGACGAGGTCTCTTGCTTCATTTGGGATTCGGCTTTAGGTACCCTCTGCAGAAACACGTCCGCAGCACCGGGGGTCTTGTGGGGGCACCTTACATGGGATCGGCTGGAGCTTGAGGTTCCCGGTTTAGGGTTTAGGCTTAGCTTCCGTCTTCAACCCGAAGCCTAAACCCTGAGACTCTAAAAAAAAGCACTAAACTCCTAAACCCGGAAGCGTAAAGACGCTGGCGCTCAACCCCTAAACCCAGAATCCTCAAAAAACTGGCACTCAACCCCTAAACCCTAAGCACTAAGACCCTAGATAGTATAGGGCTTTAAGCTTCTAGAACTTCGAGGTTCGAAGGCTTTGGGTCGGGGTCTTGGGTCAGGGCTTAGGGGGTAAGGGGGTTAGGGGTTTAGGGTTTAGAGGTTAGGGTTAAGGGTTTAGGGGTTTAGAGGTTAGGGATAGGGTTTAGGGGTTTGGGGTTTCGGGGTTTTGGGTTGATTGGTGTTTAGGGTTTAGGGGTTTTGGTTTAGGGTTTATAGGGTTTAGGTTTCGCCGCTCACACTCGGACCAGGCGAGGCATATGGTTCGAGGTCTGAAGAGACTGTTTGGGGGATTTGGGGTTCAGGGCTTAACCCTACGGGTCCATGTTGCCATATAGAGATATATGCGCCCCGAAGTACCCAAATAGGGACTGCATTCAGGCAATTGCATATACCTTATGAGCACATGGACCCTTAGGGGGAGGCTTTGAGGGTTAAGGGTTTACGCTCTCGCAACTAGGACAAGCCAGACGAGGTCTCGGTGCCTAGTACTTTGACTGGTCGGTAGAAGTTGGCTGACTCAGGGTCAAGGGTTTAAGGGTGTGAGGTTTGGGGGCTTAAGGCCTTCTAAATTGAAATTCTCCCGTCGGCTGAGGCCTTCAGGTTTACCAGCACCTGATCAACTTGAGTGACCAGGGGGCTTGACAAGTAGAAATAGATATAAGGAAAGTCACTACAACTAGAGTACTCATAATCCTTGTCCTAGTTAGCCAGTCCGCGAACCTCTGCGTATGATTGTGGCATCACACAAACGGCCATGTACCATGATTTTTCACAAGCCCGACGAAGGTACTTGTGATCGTGGCACCAAAAAAAACGAGACGACAAGCGACTTCTACCTGTGGCTGCAGCCACGCCCAAGTGATGGTTCCCCCGGAGCCTTCTCAGTCCCGAAAATCTTGAGCCTGGATTTCCGAAACGTGTAGTGAAAGACCACGGCCTTCGCAATCGACCCTAAATTCCTGAGGGTACAGTGTAGCGTTTAGTATGTAGAGACACCCGAAGCCTAGACCCTCGGCTCTAAAGCCACCAGCCCCAACCGCCTGCCTACCGTAGCCGGAAGCCACAGCTCCCTTGCACCGAGGCTTCCGCTGAACTTTGGCAAAGCCGGTTTTCCTTGGGCTGACAATGTGGGTCTACGGTTCTAGGACTTGGAACATTGGCTCAGGATTTAGATGGGTTTTACGGGCTTCAGTGCTTCATGGTGCCAGGATTTGTATGAACTTCGACATCAAACAAAGAAAGGTGGAAGGCTGCTAACTCCCATCCGACATGCCGCAGCTTTGGCCCCTACACTGCCGGACCCTCCAGAGCCCAGGTATTGATCGCAGCAATCCCGAGCTCAGGCCTCGTTTTTGCTTTCTTGGCACATGGAGCCTTATTCTTAAAGAACCCATAGAACCCGTATAATGGTAGCATGCTTAAAGCATTCCGCTTAGGCACATGTAGTCGAAGGGCTCGTAAATTCCAAATTGCAAATTACCTTAAGTTCATGGATACTTAGAAATAGGGTTATAAGAGGGATAAGTATAGATACAACCTACATTAGGGTACTTATAACCCTACTTATAACTGCCAATGAACCTCCAAGTACGCCCTCGCTGCTTGGGCGCCCGGGCCAATCAAACCTTTGCTTCTTCTTCTGGGCCTTTCGGATTTAGGGTAGCAGTTACAGTAAACCCCATAAAGTCGGAAACCGGATTAAGGCCAAATAGTGCTGTCATTCCCTATACGTTACTCTTAAGGATGGAGGCTTTGGGGTTTCCAACTTTTGGGCTTCTACTGTAGGGCTTAAGGCTTAGAAATGAAGATTTAGGGTTTGGGGCTTCGGTATGAAGGGTATACTTAAAGGGTCATGGGACTTAGTAACTAGGGTTATAATTAGGGTAACTATACTTATAACTACTTATAACCCCAATTAGGGTACTTATAACCCTACTTACTAAGTCCCATGATCCTCCAAGTAGGATTTCGGGCCTTGTGTCTTAGGTTTGGGGCTTCGGGAACGTTAAGGTTTAGGAATCAGGGCTTAGACATTCGGTAAGGTTTAAGGCTTAAGGATTATTAAGGCTTGGGGTTTAAGGTTCAGGGTGCATAAGGCTTAGGGTGATACTCTAGTGTGCCAAAACGCATGGAAGCTCCAGCCAAAGGCCCATGCAGCACCTACTCCACCTAAGAGTAACCTAGAAATGAAAGGGTGCCCTGTTAAAAGGGTGTTATAAGCGAGCCTGAACCCAAAACAAGGGAATAAGGGCTTACTCTGGGTCCTAGAAGTCGTGAGTCTTCCTACTACCGAGTACTTAACCCAATAACTGAACCCTAAATCCGAAATCCTACGATAGAGGCTCTTGAACCAGGAACCTCGGATATGCCTGAAAGTGATACGACACACACTAAATCCAAACACCACCTCAGACCTCTTGAACCGAGTCTTTTCAGGAACCCAGACCCCTTAGGAGGATCTTGAAAGTAGATCCCTTAATGGGGTTCCTGGGAAACCCCATCTTCAACTGTTAAAGAATCCGAGTTCGAGTACCAATATGAGGCGGGCGTTGGGGTTGTTTAGTGATTCGGGCTTCAGCACTTGAGGGCTTGAGGGCTTGGGGCTTAGCTAGCTTTGCAGGCTCATTGGGTTGTAGGCTTTGTGGATCTATACGGGACTCTTTGGCATGGTGGTGGGTGGATGTTCGGGGACGCCCTAGCAGGACATCAGTGGTCAAAGCCGGCTTCATGCACACTTTCATAGGTCGCATAAATTAAGACTCAGAGGTTTCGGGGTCTAGTCACAACCAAGCCCTTCGGAACCCGAAACATGGCAAGGGTACTACTGGGGAACCTCAGCCAATAAGGCACATCATTCCTAAACCCACTCCTCAATTGTAACCTCCTGTTGGCACAAAGAGGGACCCCTGTGCCACAAACTGCCCCTGCCTCAAGGTCGATGACCTGGGAAACAGAGCCAGGAGTTTCCGCAAACAAGGGCCCCTAATACAGTACCCTGAAGTTAGGGTCCTTATTATCAGGAACCAAAAATGAGGTATTCCTAATCTTCGGAAACTCACAGCTGGGACCCGGCTGAAAGTGCAGTTGCTCAAAGTGTCTCGCCATCCGCACGCCTTAATTTACAAGTGCCATTTACGTAGCTTTCACGTAAATCAATCCCAACCGCCTGAACCTTACTTGGAGGGTCCGGGGACTTAGTAACTGGTTATTTTGGGGACTTATAAGTACCATAACCCCAATCAGGGTCCCTTTTAGGGTACTTATAAGTCTGCTTACTACCTACTTACTAAGTCCCCCGACCCTCCAAGTAGACCCTGAACCACATACACCCTTAACCCCCAAAGCCCTTTTAAGCACGGACTTGCAGCCCCAAACCACTAAAACCTGAACCCCTGAACCCCTAAACCGTAGACCCTAAACCCCTCCATAAGCCCTGAGCCCTAAACAGTATTGCAGCCTCCTCATCGGACGGATGGTTCTCTGGCAAACTTCGGGCCGTGGTCCCCTTGTGAATCCTTTTCGCAAGTAGTCGGTTCAGAGGTAAAAAACCAAACAGTTTCGAAAATGGGTGCACTCTTGTTCTATTCTATGCGTTCCATAAAAAGTTTTCAGTGGCAAAAACCCAGGCCCCCCTTCTACGGCAAGTGTGGGTCAAAGGTCGCCTCATCTGCTTGCAGTGTTCATCTACGGGCTTACGAAAGTACGGCGAAAAAACCAACGTCCTTAACCAGAAACGCTCATAGTATCCTTCTGAAACCGCTACCGTTATAGTACGGATCCGAAACAAGGAACCCTAAACCCTGAACGGCCCAACCATCCTCCACGCCTCCTCGTCATCCACGATGGTCTTCACTTCGGATGAGAGCCTTGGGAGGATCTTGTTTTTTCAAGGCCTGGGAACCAAGATTCAGCTTTAAAGTTTAGGGTTCAGTTACGTAACCCCAAGTAATCTACCTCCAGGGTTCCAATTATGACTTCCTTTCGTAAGCCCTCAAAACCGGAGGGTCGTCTGGAGGGTTTAGACAAGGTCAGCCCCTAGCCCCCTGGTATGCTGTTGGGAACGTAGCTTGAAGGGTCTTGCTGTGAAAAAACTTCAGAGCACCCTCAACCCCAAAGCCGAAATATCGAAGAACCACTGGAAAGGGCCGCACAACGGCAACATGCTCATGATGTTCCTATCATAGATCACTTACAACTCATAACCATCGAAGAATCACTGATTCATTCTTTCATCGGTCAACCATACACCCAAAACAAAACGCCGCTAGTCATTCAAACCGAACGGTTGAACTCCGTGATTCTACACCTCAAGACCCGACCATTTTACACAACAACCCTTATCCGCCTCAAGCATGCTAGGTAGACACTGAAACATTCACAACCGACTCAGCCCGAAACGGCTGACGACGTCGGAAGAAGCGGCGCCAGGCCTTCAGAGCGCCAACGAGCGGACCACCCTAAACCCTAAACCCCTTTTTCAGCATGGGCTAACCCTAAACCCCTGAACCCTAAACCCCCCTCAGTGGCTTCCAACTTATAAACTGTTGAAATGTTTTGTAGGATACTGGGGTTAGGTTTCAGGATGAGGGGGCGACATGAGGATCATGGTGCGGGGCGAAAAGCCCTCAAGCAAGTGCATACCGAGACATGTGATCTTGGAGCCCCAAAAAGCAGCATGCCGGTGCTAGAAGACCAGAATGGAGCTCTAAAGCCCCAACTAGCAATGAACAAACCTCTGCATGGCCTTGAATACCCTAAACTATGGGACTTGTGGCAAATCACGTATTGTGGATTACGTCAAATGTTGCTCATCCGCAGTATCCCTTGAACCCTATCAGGACCCTATCAGCCATAGCCATAGCTTTAGAACATGCCTAGTGCTTAGGCTCCAGGGATTCGAGTTTCGCATGTGATGTACCAGGCAATCCTCGTCTTGCCTCCTCAGCCAACAAAACACTTGCTCGGATATGGGAGTTTCCGAAAATAGGGGACCGGAATATAGTACCCGAAATAGGAGGATCCTTACTGTAAGGACCCCGAAACAGGGCACCCCCAGTTTTCGAAAACTCCCAAATGAATCTTCCCAGGCAGCGGAGCTCCGCACCCCGGAAGAAGATAGGGCTTAGGGTCGGTGGGGTGCACCTGAACCCTGAATTGCAATACACACTGTTTATGATGTATCTTCAAGGTCAGACAAGAAACCACACGAACACGAAACATGAAACATCCTACAAGAAACCACGCGGAAACCCCAAAAATTGAAATGCATTGCATTCGTACAGTTCTGCTCAACCTCCTTGGCGGACCCTACACCCTCAACTTCCGGAAATTTGCACCTCCGCGGTCTTGCCCTTGGCAGGGGAAGAGCCTGTCGGATATGTCTCTGGGGTCTCTCGGCTTCAAGGCCTCTTAGGGATTAGGGTTCAGGGCTTAGGTGTTTAGGGTTTTCTGGTCCCGGCTTAGGGCTTTAGGGATTCGGGGTTTAGGGTTTAGTCCTTTGTGAAAGAAGCAGAGCTCTATAGCAATGCCTGCCCCTCCTACCCCGAGCTCCTGTCAATGAAGAAAGAAGTTACACAGAAGCCGTCCTCCGGCACTTCAAAAATATGTCAAAGTACGGAACTCGAAAAATGTAGGTTTCTCAGGGCCTAAAACCTAAACCGTGTCCCGGTGAGGACTTGGGGGAGGTGCTGGGGATGAAGTAAGCAGCCTTAGGATGGTGAACAGGCAAAACGTGCCCGGATTGGGATGGCTCTTATACTACACTCTCACTCCAGGCGTGCAGTGAGGGTTTTGGGGTTTAGGTTTTAGGGTTTAGGCACTTCGTCCCAAGGGTCGGAGTATATACTAGTATAGTGATACAGGTGGGGGCACAAACAGGTACTAAGTAGCTGCTGTATTGGTACATGAACCCTGTGTGTCCTAAGGGGATACCTTCTGGAATCATAATAGTAATTCCTATTATATAAACCCCCTACATCCTATTGCATAGGCACCCTAAACCCTCACCTCAGCTTTATAGAAGCCCTTAAAGGAACCCTTATGATTCTAAAGTAAAAGCCAGAAAGTTGGAATCTGATTATCCTAAACCCTTTATGGTAAATTATAGGGTATCCTACCCTGAAACCATATTCCAACTTTCTGGAGTTCCCCCTATAAACCCTAAACCCTAAACCCCTAAACCACGAAACCCTAACTCCGAACCCCTAAACCCTTATAGAATCCCTATAGATCCCTTTAAAGGGACCCTTGTAATTATAGTAGCCCTGAAGTACTTAGGGCCCTTTTGGGAAAGCTCTGATTCGGCTCGGGGCTCGGAACCTCGGAGGGCTGAGAAATTTCGCTCTTGGCAAGACCTTCCCAGAGACTCCAATACCCCTCAATTAAGGAATACCTAGGGTTCCTTTAAGGGATCTATAAGGGATCTATAGGCTTAGGGTTTAAGGGGTTCTAATTCATATATTAAGGGCTTTGGGCCCAAAGACCATACTATAAAAGTCTTTCGGGCTATTTGGATCCCTAGGGAGAGACTCCAATACCCCTCAATTAAGGAATAGACCTTAAACCTTACTAGGATACCTACTATGATGTCAGGAATATTCCATAATTAAGTGGTATTGGAGTCTCTGGGTTCCTTGACCAAGAAACCCACCGTTTTCCTAGACCCCCAAGTACCCTCTAATATTCCCCAAGTATCCACTGCTAAGGGCCACAAGGGCTCTATTAAAGGGCCCTTGGGGGGGTCCTGGTTCAGGACGTTTATCTTGGAGTTTAGGGTTTGTGTTTTAGAGTTTCATTGCTGCGCCAATTCGACATGAAATCCCGCATGCCAGTCCGAGCACATGTAGGGACTCGGTTGTGAAGTTTACGGTTTTTCAGGTGTGACCATGTGTAGCCTGCCTTGGTCAAACCCTGCAGCCTGCAATCGGAACTGAAGCAGAATCTGCGGCCTGACTCCTGTGGCGTCTTCTCTTGAAGCTTCTTCCTGCGCTGGGCCCGGGCTACAATCCACGAATAATTTCCAGCTCAGGATCCTCAAACTACTGCTGATGGTCAAAATCCTGCATTACCCATAATAAGGAATATACCATAACTCCCATAGTTTAGGGTCCAAAAGGTGATGCAGGATTTTGACCATCAACCGTAGTACAGGTGCCAGGGTGTAGGGTACCAGTAATAATGATTGTGGCGTAGGGATTGGGGGTGAACAGGGACTATGAGGGGGGTACTATCCTGGACAAAACGCCTGCAGCGAGGGCACTAAATCAGAAAACCTTCTCGACCAGGACCCCCAACGGCCCTTGCATGGGGTCTCGGGAGGGTGTAGGGTTTAGGGTATAGTAAGTCGTAAACCTTCTCAAGCTTTAAGGGTCTCAGGTATACTGCGTCGACCGAAGAATGTAATGCAGGATTCGGAGAGAGGGGTCCGGGGTCCTTGGTAAAGCTTTACTATATAGGTTTCAAAGACGTGGGGCGGCAGACAGCATCGTAGGGTTTTAGGGTTTAGGGTCTGAGTTTCTCTCCAAAGTTGTCGAAACTATTCTGGTCGACGTGATCTTCCCCTTGGGCATCCGCGGGCCACCGAAAAAGCCCTCAGCCCTGAGCTTCGAATCCTCGTGCCTGAGATCTTGCAACCCTACGAGCCCTAAACACAAAGAGGCATTGAGCAGCGGACCTCCGACTAGAGTGATTTAGGAAGCAATTCTGAACCCGTTCAGTTTAGGGTCTGGGGTTTTAGGATTTAAATACCAACCCAAAAGTCTTTTCGGTGCTTCCTCGCCATGACTGGGCTCCTGGCTGAACACAGGAGCTTCAACAGTTTGCGAGATGCCTCCTGTAGGAATTCGCCCTGAACCTCATTCTCATCGTTTAGGCTCTGTTGCCCTAAACCCTAAACCCTTTTGCAGCAGGCCTCGTTATCCAGCAGCCCGGTTACAGCATGAACCCCCCTTTCCCTAAACCCTAAACCCCAAACCCTAAACCCCCAAAAGTGGCGCTTCATGGTTCTTGGGTGCAGGGTGTATCTCACTCTGAGCCGTCCTCTTCGGCCCAACGACTTTGGCTGGCCTCCCAGACTTAAGGTCTGAGTACCCTTACTACGGTTGATGATATAAATCCTGCATTACCCATAATAAGGAATATATACCATAATTCCCTTGGTTTAGGGTCCTTAAGGTAATGCAGGATTTACATCATCAACAATAGGGGGTTTAGGGTTTGTAGGGGGATAGGGGCTTAGGGGTTAGGGCTTATAGGGGTTTAGGGTTTAGGGTCTAGGGTTTACGGATTTCTTGGGGTCTGAGTACCCTAGCCCAAAAAAAGCTGACATTTACAGTTATGATCTAGGAGGTGCTTCTAAAGCCTTTGAAAAATAGTAGTAAGTAAGATCCTCTTAAGCCCCATAAGAGCAAATATAAAATGTCCCAAAGCCCTACCTAGTGGTAGGATTAGATAAACCCCAAAAGGTTAAGGGCACCTACTCAGCTACTAAGCAGAAGAGTCTTCAGTATACACTTCCCCCTAACAAAACTCGAAATGGGCACCAACAAACATTTTCTGAAAACCCATGAACAGAACACATGCAGGAGAAGTGCGGTAATTTTCTAGTCAAACAAATCGCGCGACACCTTCAAGACGCATTGAGCACACACACCCTATAGAAAACCCCAAAAACCCTTCGAATCCTTCGAATGCCTTCGCAAAACCTAAGGCACTCTGCGAAGCTGTAAAACATTGTGAAAGCCGATATACGAAGCCCTCGAAGACCCTCGCAAACACAACACTAAACTAGAAACCGGGCAGGACTCTGCGCCTCTTGTCCTCTGACTTCTCCACCTCGGCATCGGCCACCTGCGCGCTTCGACAGAGCTGCGGAAACCAAAGCTTCCAGGGGGCTTGAAACAGGGTTTTCTAGGGTTCTATAAAATCGATGTGTGCAAAAACTCGTATACAGTGGTTCAGGGTTTAATGTATCGCTTCATAATGCGGATAGTGTCTTGGGTATTTGCGAATTTAAACGTACAGGGACCTCAGGGGTATCATTCCTGATTATCTTGGCCTGTACGCTGGGGCTTTACGTATCGTTGTTTATTGTTTTCCAGCCCAGAGGATCCAATGCATACTTACATGAAGCAAAAAAATACTGCAATTATTTTGAATTGAAAAAGAGCTGTCTACCACAGGGCGGCACTTCGCATCCCTCGGGTTCGGGCTTGGGCATTGGAGGCCAAAGGTTTTGGCTTGAACGTCTGAGTTGAGGTGAGTTTGCACGGTTGAAGTTAAGATCTGCTCATACCCTACCCTTTTTTGGGGGATATCTAGGTTTACGGTTAGGATCTGTTATCTTAAAAATCAGGAGGTGCCCCAAAAAGGGGTAGGGTATGAGCCTCTTCTAGGTAGGGTTCAGGGCTGAGCCGGTTCCAAAGACTCCGACATCCCTTCCATAGGTTTCCTAGGCAGCGCTTTTCAGTCTAAACCAGAATCCCAAACCCCAGGCCTGAAATCCTTCTCCCTACTGGATTCGAGACCGTCAGGCACATCCCAATCAACCCGAAACCCTAGCACCCTTTTGCATGCAGGCTTGGGAAGTCGGCCGGGGGAGCCGACAGACAACAACAGCATCGCGTCAAGCTGCAGCCCTACTGGCAACAGTTCTTGATCCTACGATGCCAAAGCTGACTGACCGTTTCAACTGTAAGAGAACAAGATTCATAGTTTACACCCTACACCTGCCTCCACTGGTTCTGTGGCATCCCCAGCTCCTGACAAAACACAAACCCTAATGTAGGGGCCTTACTGATATTAGAATAGGGTCTGGGAGTAGAGTGTACCATAACTATAATAAGGAACCAGTACACACAAGTATATATATATATATATTATAATAATAATTGGTAATAAGCAGCCCCCCAAAACCCTATTCTAACTGTTAAGGCCCCTACCATAAGGCTCCACTACTACCGAGTCGGTTTCCTCGAAGCGTTCCGCTTTAAGGGGGTCTACATGGGCTTTACATAAATCAGAATACCATAAAGGTTGCTTTCATGGTTTGGCATAGGCATCAAAACATGATAAGAACAGGGGTCTGAATTACAACAGAGTAGTAGTGTATCATAAAGAGAAACTTTGAGGAAGAGTGGTGCTTGACCGTATAGCGTGTTTTTATGTATATATGCATAGACATAATGTGTTTACAGTGCGGCCATGGCATATCTCTACATACATCTGCATATGTATATATATATATATACATATGCTCTCACACATATACGTACACACACAAAAATATGTAGATATAGATAGGTAGGTGAAGCCCACCTTCAATTCATTCAGACTTAAGTATCTACTACATGAAACATGGGTACACGGACCCTGGGGGAAAAGTTCGACGAACCGTGTCGAAAGCAGCAGGGAATTGAAAAAGCGCAGCGCGGCATTCAGCTCAACATCTCGGAGCTTTGACATGAGCCGAACACTTAACCCTGAACCCCGATGCACAAACCATTTCGCAAATCTGAACCTAAACCAGCAACCCTCTAAGTCTAAGCATACCTACAGCCTTTTTGTCAGCTCCTGAAGCCCAAACTCTGAAAAGCCACAGCCGAGATCTGAAGCTCTAAACTCCGAACGCCTCAAACCCAAAACCCCTAAACCTGCACCCCGAACCCCATCTCCTCGCTCAGGGCCGGCTTTCTGCTTCGGTGCCTTCTTCCTGCAAAGTTGAGTCCGCCCCGAGGTTCGGTAGTTGCGAAAAATTTCTAGGGTTTAGGAGTTTGGGGTTTGGCGTTTGGGGTTATAGGGGTTTAGGGTTTAGGTGGTTCAGAGGGCCGTTGAACGGGGTTGTGTACTTGTAGGTTCATAGGTAGTCATGAATAAGTATGGTTCTACTCCCCCTAACATAGGCTAATTAAGTATAGATATCCGATTTGCGCTATTTTCTGCTTATAGGCACCCTGGAACCTCCAAGTAGTTGACCTCATCTCCCACATCGCCTGTCGATGGTAAGCGTTTAGGGCATTAACACCTCTCTCAAGCGTCACGGGGGAAGTTCTAGAAGCGCGGATGTAGGAGTGTGGTCTGCATGTTGCGGACGTGTCAAGACTGTACTGCCCGACCGGTTTGGGTGTTAAAACTATACATGGGAGTTTCCGAAAACAGGGGACTCTAATATAGTACCCTAAAACAGTAGGATCCTTACTATAAGGACCCCAGAATAAGGTACCCCTAATTTTCGGAAACTCCCACATTGCAACTTCTGAGTGTTTCTTGACGGCTGTCTATGTCTGGTCCCTTGCTGCCTCTGTGTGTGCACCTTGTGCTCAACAAAGGCATTTGTAACATCGTAGAGGAGTCTTAGTAATTGGAGTAGGCTTTGGGGTATCTTATAAAGCCTTAGTAATTGGAGCAGGCTTTGGGGTATCTTATAGCAGACAAGAGGGCTAACGCATAATCGGTGGTAATGGTTCAAGCCTCGTTTATGTGTTACTTCGATTGCAGGAGCAGCGCAGACCAACATCGGAAACATCCTTTCCCGCCACATGCACTTGTGGCAGGGAGCATCTCGCGAGATCTTCAACCGCAAGAGAACCCTGTGAACCCTGAGCCGTCCTTAGAAGGCCCACGAAAGCACGATTAACGGGATATGCAAAAAAAACCTGGATATATCACAAGGTACGATAATATCTACTATAAGATGCTACATTATCTTAGTTGCTGAGTTCAGAAGCCTGCAACCAGTGTACACTTTCAGTTTCAAAGTGGGTAAGATTATCTGGCTGTTGATCTAAATTGCTTCGTTCCGGAATGACCTTCTTCACGGATAAAAAAGTAACTTTCGCGCCACCGTCGCGCAACTTTCGCGGAGGCATACTTACATAAACTTTCGCAAAAATTAAAATAACTTTCGCCGCACCATCGCGGACTTTCGCGAAGGCATATTTAGCTATGCAGTTGGCCGTTCATATAAATTATACCACAAGGAGCTTTAGATCAACTACCAGAATCTCAAAAAGTGTAAAGTCTATCCACTCAGCTACTAAGTTATAGTGCCATGAACTGTCTTGTAATTCATGCCTCCGGCCCTCCCTCCGCCAAGGCCTCTTTGCTGTCGCGTCTTTGGCGGGCCTGGGGCAGAATCTTTGCTTGACCACCCTACTGTGGGGGCCTCTGTTAATAAGAATAGGTTTGAAGGCATGCGAGCATATTCATAGAATCACTTGGAGGTTCATGGGTAGACATAAATAGGGTTTATAAGTAAGATAAATACAGTTAAAGCCTGCACTAGGGAACTGTTTAACCCCCACTACCACTACCCATGAACCTCCAAAATGAGATATTGCAACTCCTGCACTGCAGAGGACAGGTCTTGGTGCCTAATGTCGAAAGTTGCGGGTTCTACTTGGAGGCTCATGGGTAATTAGAAGTAGGGGTATAAGTAGGATAACTATAGATACAACCCATATTAGGGGACTTATAGCCCCACCTAGAACTACCCATACCCCCGGGAGAATCTAGAAAGTAGAACCCCTAATTTGGGGCCCTATACTACTAAGGGTACTTTATAGGAACCCCCTACTAAGGGTTCTACTTTTTGGATCCTCCCGTGGGTCTGGGTACCCATGAACCTCCAAGTACTGTCTCGGCATTGAGGGTTCAGTTTACGCTTCCAGGCTCAAGCGCTAGGGTTAAGGGGTTTAGGATTTGGGTTTAGCGGTTTAGGGCTTTAGGGGTTCAGGGTCTACAATTTCGATCTCCCGGCGTGCGTGAAGTGCGTGGATCAGTGCGAAAGCTTGAACCCGACAAAAGCCACCGAAAAGGAGCGGAGTGTTCTACCTGGTCCATGAGCAAGAAAGAATTCAAGCACGTACATCTCGGATTCTGGAGCCATAGAAAATACGAAGGACCTACATGGGGGTTTCCGAAAATAAGGGAGCCTACTATAGCACCCTAAATCGTAGGATCCTGATTACAAGGACCCCAAAATAAGGTACCCCTAATTTTCGGAAACTCCCACATGGACCTACGTGTACAGCCCCGAAACAAACAGGAGGCCCTAGGTGAGTCGTAAGTTTGCGAGCAGTCCCAGACCTTCCAAAATCCCCTAATTAAGGAATTTACCTTAATTTTGCCATATCAGGGATCCTATTATGATTTAAGGTACATTCCTTAATTAAAGGGTATCGGAAACCCTAATAGATCCCTTTAAGGCCCCTTTTAAAGGAACCCTAGGTATATTCCTTAATTAAGGGATTTTGGAATGTCCGCAGTGGGGCCCTTCGTCTGTGGCCTCGTTTCAGAAGACTCGGATTTGGCGGCCTCTCCACTCTCCTGGGAGCTTCTAGGGTTGCAATTTAGGGTTTAGGGTTTAAGGGTTAAGGGGTGCAGGGTTTAGGGGTTCAGGGGTCCAGGGGTCCAGGGTTTAAGGTTTAGGGGTTCAGGGTTTAGGGATTAAGGTTCAGGGGTTCAGGGTTTAGGGGTTTAGGGGTTTAGGGTTTAGCGGTTTAGGGTTTAGGGGTTTAGGACACTCAGGGTTCTACGAACAAGGCAAGGGTCATAATAGACCTTCGGATAAGCAGTACAATAAGGGCTTTAATCAGGGTGACAATATGGGGTATCTGCGTACCTGTACCTGTCGTCATGTCTTTCGTGCCTGTCGCACCTGTTGCACCTGTCGTACCAGTCGTACCTGTACCTCGTCATACTTGTCGTATCTGTCGCGTCAGTCGTACCTGCGTTCCTTTTGTGTCTGTCGTACCTGTCGTGTCAGCTGTGCCTATTTTGTCGTACCTGTTGTACCTGTCGTAGCTATCGTGTCTGTCGAGCCTGTCGTACCTGTCTGTCGTGCCTGGTTTTGGGGTTCAGACTTCGGGTTTAGGGGGTTTTGGGTACAACCGCCTAGTACGTACACAGTTGTTTCTGCCCTTAGTCTGGATTTTGTTACCATCAGTCCTTCTGGCGAACCTCCTCCACGGGCTTCTTGCTCCCATCAGAAGCGCCTAAGCTTTGGATTTCGGATATTTTCCCTCCAACTTTGCAAGGGGTCAGGGGTGTGGGGTTAAGGCAAAACGGATAACGTTCCACATGTTGGGCTTCGGAAGGAGCATTAACCAGGTTTCCCAGCAGCCCCCTAATAATGAGGGCACCCTTTTTCCTACTATTTGGTTTTAAGGCAACCCCAGAAGAAAAGAGCAAAAGTGTACTAACGGGGAACCTAGTCAATTTTGTCATGGCTCGGTTCGGTAACGGCAAGCTTGGAATGGTTGTTCAATGCCGTAAGGCTCGGAAGCAACCGCGGGAAGCAGTCAAAGGGCGTGATCATAGCGGGATCTGAGCTCTCTTGCGTTAGCGCAGATCAAATTCACAGCTCCGGCATCTATAGGCATCAGAAAATCTGCTACTACAGGACCTGTTTATCAATCGGAGTCGTGGAGCACTACCGGTGTGAAAAGCACCAAAAATACGAGGACTATGTGGTTCTGGGTTTAGTGAGTTTAAGGTTAAGGGAAGTTTCTTTGAAAGTGCTATGGGCCTTTCGAACTGCAGAAGCGAGAACGTCCAGCTCACTCTTAAGGGAAGTGGAAGTCTCAGATTGGCAAGTGCACAAGTTACGGCCAGCCAAGCCAGCCCTCACGAACAGGCAGACGGGGCTTCATTTTGAGATGCCTAGGCGGCTAGAGATCACCTGGATTCCTGAATTTTTAAGGGGTCCACGTCAAGTGAACTCCGGTTTGCAGAACCAGCCTAAGGTCTGAATTCAGAACTTCCCTGCCTAGAGGGTCATACCAGAATGTTCCATACGCAGAGCCTGAGGGTACGGTATGACCGTATGACCCTCTTGGTATATCCGGAAATCCAAATCCCAAACTTCCCAAACCCATCCGAGCTCCCGAAGTCTGCAGTATCTCTGCAGCCCTAAGGGTCTCGGGGTTCAGGGGTCTTCAGCAGCTCTGAAGCCCAGGAAGCCTTGCTAGAAAGCCGAAGCCCTGAACGGCTGCATCTCTGACCGGATCCACCGAATCGTGCCTGCGTCCTCCACTGCTTCCTCCTCCTTCGAAGTCTTCTTCCTGACCCAGAGAGCCCTTTAAGGAGTATGTGTTGAAACGCATTAGCTATCAAGCCGTGTGTGTCAAGGCATATTCCTTATGAAGCTCGCTCTCTCTCTCTCTCTCTCTCTCTCTCTCTCTCTATCTCTTTCTGCTTCTCTCCTACACCCTAAACCCCGAAGGCCCCGAAATCACATATTACCCTCATTTCTAACAAGGAGCCTGTCTGGCCAGTACTGTGTGGCGTTCCTGCACGTCATGTCAACCCATCTATAACCCAAACAACCTACCGTTGTTGGCTTCTTTAGAAAGCTTTTCTATCGCGCATCAAAAGGAAGATGCTTTGGGCTACATGTAGTTCAAGAGAAATATTCGCACAGTCGCCTTTTTTACGAAGCCATTCTTCCAAAAGGCATCGCGGTCTGCAGGTACAGCCCCTCTGCTTGCCAGCAATCCTGGCGCTTGCCCTCAATCGGAAAAGCCTCGGACTCGCTGCCATGCGACTTACCCCCACAGTGAGGGTAAAAAGCTTCGTCTTTAGACTCTAAGGTTTCGGGATGCCGTTTTCGCTCAATACCCTGCTTCGAACTAAGTCTGCTACTTTGCAAATTATCTAGCATACCTTGGCAACTGGCCCTCAGCCATCCAAGAGGATACGGAGCATCCGCACTGCCAGTCCAAAAGCGGCGTTAAAAGGACACTTTCAACTTTCACGAGTCTTCACAGGCAAATGCTATGGCATTCTTGTCCTTATCATCCATTATCATGGCTACTATTGCTGCTATGCAAAGTGGTCGCCAAACTCTCGGCTGTCGCGTGCAGACATACACGAAATCTGATTTTGAGCTTGGGCTTGAATCCCGGACGGCTGCTAGGCGTGCACAGCTTTCATCACATATAATCCGGAGAAGGCTAGGGCTGCGAAGCCCTGAAACACCCAGTCCCTTGCACACAATTGCGAGTACTATTTTTGTGTGTTCCTTATCCTAGGTATAGCATACAGTAGAAGCTCAAAAGTTGGAAACCCAACAGCCTCAATCCTTAAGAGTAACGTATAAAGAATCCCAGCACTATTTGTTAATCAGGTTTCCCACTTTATGGGGTTTACTGTAAAAGGCCCCAAGATTATTACGGCCCCTATATCACAGTATACTCCAAATATCCCTTATAGTCACACTTCAAGGTTTCCCTTGTAAAGAAGCCCTATTCTAACTATTAAGGCCCCTATACTACATCGAGCAGTTTTGAAGCCCTCCGACTCGGAATCCTTGAAACCCCAAGCTCGGGAGCAGCACTTACTTCGTTTGTTTGTGAGACCTTTGCCTCCAGGCCCCTCGTGCTTTAAGGGATCATTTAAGGGTTCATTTCAGGGTTCAGGGTTTAGGGTTCCTTCATGGGCGCCTTTAAGGCATCCTTTTTGGGTTTCAGGCTGCGATGCTTCATGATTCTCGTAAGGGTCCAGGTATCTAATTATCTTACGCTCGCAAAACGAGTAATTAACCTACTACATAATACTATCCCAAGCCCGAGTACCTAACTATTTTGGACCCTCGAGCGTTCAGAGTGGAACAGTTTGGTGTAGCGCAGGCTGACCTCGAGGAAGAGCAAGCGCGAATATCGGCTTTTGCCGATCAGTCCCAGACATGAAAGCTGGACCTTCAGCTCAAGGTTGGTCTTTTAAAGCCTCTGAAAAACATTCGTAAATAGGGTCCTCTTAAGCCCAATAAGGGAAAATATTTTTTCAAAGGCCTACCTAGGCATCCACTGTTCATAGAGTGTTCAGAGGAAAGCCTACGAGCTTTTGCAACTCGAGCACGCAGATGGAGATGATTCGAGTTTGAGGCAGAAGACACCACAGCTTCCATGCCCGGGAACTTCGTCAAGCACAGAGTAGCGACGAGCACGTGTCACGAGGTAAAGTCTCGTTGGAGAGCATAAAGCGCAAGGTTCTCCGGCTTGCGACATTACATGCGCTGAAGGCGCTCTCCGAGGGTGGGTGGGGAGCTGCCTCTAAAACCTCAGCCGCATGCAAAGCCGGTCACTGGATATTTAGTCGGTTCTGAGCGTTCGGGACGTCAACACCCCAAACAACCTAAGCCCTGAAACCACCTGCACATACCTGAAACATGTATATACATATATGAACCTTACACACCCTATAGACCCGCTGAACCTCCGGCCCGGAATGGTACAAGGTTTCCTTGCCTGGGAGGACTTCATCCGCTTCTGTGGAGCTCTTAGTATAAGGGCCATAATACTAGCACTAAGCCCAGGTAGCTTGACTGGCTCCATGGTCCTCCAAGCAAAACGGCCGAGTCGGCCCAAAACCAGTCCTCGTTACAGGACCATGACAAAGCCTGGTCTTGGGGGGGTGAGCAGTGCATGAACAATGGTATACACTTTGGGGCTTGAGGTGTGGCCACTGGAACAAGCACGAAAGAGCAAATTCGGAAGCTGAGCATACAAGGACTTTGCAAAGCACCGGCAGGTATTGACGGCGGCAGACTGCTCAGGAAGTACAGGCTTCGGCGGTGTAAGAAACGTAAGACTGGCACGTATCCCTCAAGGGCACGCAAGGCACGCATTGTGCTTCTACCTCGTTCTAAGTACCAATAATCAGCCGAGAGACCTCAGAAGGTACCCTGCATGCCAGGTCAGAGCAGCTCCTCAAAACAGCCCAGGCCTGAAATCGCAACCCACATCGGCAACCCGAGGACCAAACCCTAAACCGTACAGCTGCTGTTGACCCGGGCATGAGGTGGGTTCCAGTCTCCCTATTCCGAAACGGCGCAATTCGAGAAGTTTCAGGCAAACCGGTTCTCGAAGTCGCCAATCATAGACGCAAGTAGAGCTCTCGACCGCACGCTCATCGCCATTAAGACTCACCAAGATGCCTGGGAAAGGACTGCAAACCCAGAAACGACTAAACCCTCCCAAATAATATACGGTTTAGGGTGTAGGGACCTTAGCAATCATAGAATAGGGTTCCTTGACATTTAGGGTTTAGGGTTACGCTGAACCCTACAGCCTCTTCGTTTCGGACACGCAGCAGGCAACAACCCATTGACCCAGCCAGCTTCTGAAACCAGGAGACCCCCTATTTTACGGTAAACACGAAAAAGTGCAAGCCGGATTAAGTACAAATAGTGCTGGGGGATTCCATATACATTACTCTTAAGGATTGAGGCTACTAAGCTTCCAACTTTTCGGCTTATACTATAGGGCTCAGGGATTAAAGGGTGAGAAAGTCTTTCCCCTCCTACTTAGCAAGGACGAGGCCTGCATTCTTAGAGGGGCTGGGCTGGGGTTTAGGGGTTTAAGGGATTATAGGTTAGGTTATAGGGTTATAAGGCTTAGGGTTATAGGTTTTGGGGCCCCGAATCAACTGCCCACAGATACATGTCAATGAGCGCGTCCGGAATCAAGAGTCCGGGTACAAAAACCGTGAGACTGTCCGGCTTGTACTTTGTACAGAAACTTCCCACGCTTGTTTGCCGGGCCCCTGCACCAATGCAGTCGACCCAAATTACATTACTTCGGGTTGCCTGGTTGAAGGCACGCGCTGGTACAGCGCACTGCGTGTGTGTCGGCACCATAAGGCGCGAGAGACTTAATTCACATTGGCTTTCGCGGCCACATCCGAACCGAAGCTTTCAGGAAAAACCCTGAAACACATGAAGGCCCAGAAAACTCGGATGTGGACACATTCAGCAAATTTCGGCTGGGTCTCTCTCATGCAGTCCTGCTCAAAGTCTGTGAAAGGCCTTCGGTAGGGCTCATCTTTGCCTACGCACTGCCGCCGCGCAAATCGCTTGGCCCGAAGCCGTAAGTCCTGGTGAAAAGCTCGAGAAATCCGGTAAGGACAGTTCCTAGTAGGAGCCGGAGCACTGGTTTTAGGTTCATCAAGAATGGGACAGCGGCGGGAAGTGCAGCGAAGACTCTGGCCAAATGCTTGGCTGCTTTCAAACATTGCTGAGACTTGACCAGGCAGCTCGTCACTTCGCTAGAAGAACCTCGATTACAATTTTGGGATCTTAAGGCCTGCTCCTCTCCAAAAAACCCTAGTCGAAACCCCATCAGCTCTGTAATGAAAGCTGCTATAAGCCCTAAACCCGAAGCACTCCTCCAAGCTCGGGTGAAGAAATCCACCAGGCTTTGGAGCTCTGCTTAAAAGAGTCACCTGGTCAGCTGGATGTCCCCAGACCTTCCAAAATCCCTTAATTAAGGAATATACCTTGAATTGTAATAGGGTCCCTAATATGATTTAAGGTATATTCCTTAATTAATTAAGGGATTTTGGAAGGTCTGGGTCTCTCGCAAAAAAATGCGGTGGGCCACACCCTAGAGCTTGCGATTTCTAGGCCGCCTGGCCGGGTAATTCGGGCGTGCGAGCTCAACACATACCATCTAGACCCAAGAGTATCCTAGGAATAACAAGGGTGCCCTTTTTGGTGTAAAGGGGCTTTTAAGGGAACCCGAACCCTCAAAAAAGGGAATAAGGGCCTACTCCATGTCCTAACCATAATGGGGGACCTATGGCCCAAAGGCTCCATGTACCCATATAGTAGTTACTTAGGCCTTAAAGGGGTCCCTCTATAGGTACTTTGAGGCCTAAGTAACTACTATATGGGCACATGGAGTCTTAGGGTGGTATATAATCGGGAACAAGACCCTATGATGGTAGCTTAAACAATAGGGACCTATAGCAAGAGTATAGCTCAACACTAGCAGTACACGGGTCTGGTGCTCTAGTTTCATGTTAGCCCAACATCATCGCAAACAGTGGGTGATCATGGCTTCACGCGAAATGCCACACCTCGCATCCCGGGTAAGTCCCCAGGATTTTCTCAGTTTCAAACAGTTCAACCCTTAAAACCCCGAAACTAGATGCTCGAATGCTCTACTGAACCTTCTACAGTCACAAGCGCTAAAATCCTTAAACCTTCCACAGTGACAAAGCCCTGAAATCCTTAAACCTCGGCCCAACCCCGGCAGCCGCGTGCGAATGCACTCACTCTGCT